GTACCCTGTCCAACATGACTTCAAATGTAGCAAATGAGAGAATGATAAAAATAAATTATGTCCAGTGTAGCGCCAAGTGCTATGGAGCTCATGAGGTGGGGTGGGAGGGAAGGGTTCTCTGAGGAGGGTGCCCGAGCAGTGATCCGCAGGATGAGGAGGAGCTGGCTGGCTCAGTGCTGCAGCAAGAGAGGTCCGGCCTGGGTGGGTGCAGCTGGGTGAGGTACTGATGTGGGAGAGAGACGCCCAGAGTATCCAGGGAACAGCAAGTCAGAGTTGAGGGTGGTGCAGGAGGTGGGGCTGCCAGGATGTGCTGATGTGTGGCAGCAAGATGGGTGGAAGGAAAGTGTCACACTCAGTTCGCTGGGTTTCTCCTGAGGACACTCAGGGAGCTGGGTAGCTTTCCCTCCTATTTAGAGAAGAGTGTAGAGGCTCAGAGAGGTGAAATGGCTTGTCCAAAGACACCTTGCAGCATGGAAATCAGAGCACGATTGACAGCAGGCCAGGCTCTCTCCCGCAACACTCCTTCGATGCCCTCTAGACACTGCCCCACACATGGCTGGGTGACCACAGGCTTGTGGCTAACCCTCCCTGGGGCTTATCTGGAAAGCAAGGCAGTCCCTCCTGGTGTCTCAGATTAAAATAAGCACCACCTCCTGGAGAGTGGCACTCTTAGGTAGGTGAGGGCTGAAGACCTCTTAGGGAGGAAAATCCACAGGATCCTGGGCTCTTGAGCGCCCCTGCCCCTATCCACCTCCCAGCACAGGGGATTCAGTCTCTCATTGGACTGTCACAGAGTCCTCTCTTGGGTGGCCTGGATTTTCACAGGGGTCACAGGAGAGACTTACTTATGCCATGTCACAGGGCTCTGGCACCTCCTGCATCATCTTCCCTGAGCACCCACAGTCGTAGACCCTGTTTCTACCAGCCCAGCAGCTGCCCAACATGGCCACAGTGGGGCAAGTGTTCCACAGGGGCACTTATGGGTCATGTTTGGTGCGCGTCCTCTCCACAGCTCAGGTCTCAGGGATCCCAGGGTGGCACCAGCTTTCTGTGCTGAGTGGAGCGGACATCCAGGGACGTCCCTCTTGTCCCAGAGGGAGCTTCTAGAGGTATAACGCCCATGGGTGGCCACACAGCTGGCTGGAGGCATGGACTGAGGCACACGGAGAGGGGCTGGCTGGCTCAGTGCTGCAGAAAGAGAGGTCGGGCCTGGACCTCATGGAGCTCTCCTATTCTCAGTCTGAGTCCCCTTCTGGGCCCTCCTACCCCAGACTCTGCCGAGGCCCACCAAGGACTGTATGGGGCTGGAACGTACCCTGCCTTCCGAGACAGGAGACAGGAGGCTTGCCTGTGATTCACCGGCCCTGCTTGGACCTCACGGAGCCTGAGCCTAGGACCCAAGAAGTGAACAGAACAGGAGCTTCTCTGTGGCCACAGATGTGGGAAGGCCGTGGGGTTCAGGGTGAGGGGCAGGATCTAGGCCATCTAGAGCATCCTGTGAACCTGAGGCTCCGTGGTTATGGGGAAGGGTGGACGGGGCTTTGGGCTGGGATTGCTGGCTGTGGCCAGGACGAACAGGTGTCCAGAAGCCTCGGCATGGTCCTGTTCAGGGCTGTCATCTCAGTCTCTAGAAGGGAGAATAGAAAACTGTTAGGGTAGAACTTCCTGCTGGCCTGGCACACGGGGCTCTACTGGGATTTTCTCTGAATGGAATATGTACTTCCTCTTGTCCTCGTGAGGGAGGCCGTACTCTCTGCTCCAGCCAACAAGGCCCTTTCACACTGAGGCTTGGGGCCCAGTCTACCTCCAGCAGAGAGGGGCAAGGGCCAGGAGAGCCTGGTACAGATGGGGAAACTGAGGCCCAGGAGGCAATTCCTTCAAGGTGACAAGGAAAAGAATATAGGACAAGGATGGATGTCTGTCACTGGGGCTGTGGCCCACTGCCACCCATCCTGGGGTCTCTGAGTCTCAGAGAAACAGAGGTCCCGCCTGCCTGTCAGGTGAGCTACCTGGCTCTGGAGATTAGTGGTATTAGCTAAATCCCTGGGCTGCACTAGGCTTACCAGAGGCGCCACCCTGGGGGTTCGGGGGTGGATTGGCACTCTGTACCTCCGGCTTGGTCTTGATCACCAAGCAGAGCTATGCCCCTGCTGGCTGGTGGCCCACTCTGCCACTCCAGGCCTGCGGGGCTGGATGCAGGCAGGTGACCTGTGCCTGTGGACCTGGGTGGGGTGGCAGGCAAGGGTACCTTTGTCTTCTGTCTGCCCCTTCCCAGAGATAAGGCCTCTTTGATCCAGCAGGCCCCTGCTCCTGCTGGACAGATCAGGTCTCTGGGGGAATTGGGGGCCTGGTTGCTACATCTGTGTGGCCGGCCACTCAATTGTCCACCCTCTGGCCTGTGCACTGGTCTCAAAGGGCATGAGGGTGTGGTGAGGGAAGAGGGTCAGGTGACCGGCAGGGCCGGGCCACATGCTCTGGGTGTTCCTCCTGTGAATAACAAGACTTCCATTCATGCTGTCTCAGCCATCCTGGGTAGGGCACAGTATGAGAGCCACTGTTTTTTGCTCTCTATTTGCTGCTCCACAGAGTCCACGACTATGGCAAGGCATGGGAGGTAGGACAGTAAGCACTTTGAGGCCTGGTGAGTCGGGACTGGTGACAGCTGCCCCATTGTGTTACTGTGTGACCTTGAGAAGTCGCATCTCTCTGTGCCTCAGTTTCCTAGTGTCTGGGGGGTGCTCCTTCCCTGTAATGACAGCAGTATGGTGTGAACACACGGTGGATTGTGTAACATTTGAGGATCCTGGGAGCGTTCACCTAGAATATTCCTGAGAAATAACTTGAACCCTGGGAGGATGAGGACCATGCAGGGGTGAATGCCACACTGAATGCCAAACAGCAGGAATGCCCTCTGTAGAAAATGTCACCCGTGGTAAAGGCCTCATTTACAGTAGCCCTAAAACAGCTGAAATATCCAGGATTAAATTTAGCAAGAAGCGGAGAATTCATATGAAGTAAGCGATGACCCTTTGCAGAAGAATGTTGAGAACTAGAGAAATGGAGAGAAGGTTTTTAGCTCTGGGAAGAAAACACTGACTTGGCCGAGATACCCATCCGTAAAATATGAATCCACAAAACCAAGGCAAGCAGCAGGGTTTTAGAAGTGCAATCCAAGAAGCTGCTTCTAAAGTTTTCCTGGAAAAGAAAGTGTATGAGAACATTCAGTAAGGTGTTAGAGGCAGGGTACTTGCTGGAGTACGAATGGAGCATGCTGCCAGATGGAGTGACTCAAGCAGCACGGTGTGGATGCGCAATGGAGCAGGGCTCAATGAAATGGAGAGACTGTGTTTCCGAACAGAAGGACAGATGGGCTATTCGGTAATGGCACCGGGCCGTGAGCTACGGTATAATTAAGCAAAATGTAAATTAGATCCCTACCTCACGCCACTCACTGAAGCAAATTCCAGAAACACTAAGGAGCTTTAATATTCTATATCTTGTATGTGTGTCTATGCACTAAAGAGCAAATGTGGTGTGTGTGTCATAAAATTAATAGAAGTCACAGGAATATATTTCTGGGGGTGACCCTTCCTGTGTGCACCACACAGAAGCTGTAGAGGAAAAGATTGACTTGATAATAAATGTTTAAAAAGTCTGCTGAGCACAAGACACCTTAAACAAAATTAAAGACAAATGGCTGGGAGAAAACGTGGAAAAACGGGAGAAGGGGGACTGGGAGGGGCTTGGGCAAGAGAGGAGGCTGTCTATAGGTTTGCTTCTTACCAAACCTCAGGGCCATTTAGCTCTGTTCATAACAGGAATGGTTCACATAAAATCTACCGAAATGATGCACGCTTGGCGTGTGTGTGTTTTCTGGGCCCACTGCCTGCTGCGAGGGGGCAGGGCGTGGCAGGAGTGGGCAGCGGTCCCTTGAAGTCACTCCCACTGTGGAAACCCTCATAGGTCAGTCCCTGGGGCAGGGCTGGAGGCTCACTGGAGACCTGGCAGGTGGCCTGAGGGGCCTGTCCAGGGTGCCCTCCCTAGCGATGAATATTTCCCACCATCTTGCCCTTCTCATGCTCAGTGGGGCCCTTGCCAGTCTCCAGCTGCCTGCCTTGCCCACTAGGAATCTCTTCTCTTGAAGGTGCCAGTCCTGTTCCCACTCCAACAGCGCCAGCCTGCCCCTTCCAGAGGCCTGCTTAGGGACAGCATCACCCGCCTCCCCAAGAGGACTGGTCCTCCTGTCACCTGCCTGGGGCCAGAGGTCGGTGGTAACCTCAGTGTCGTAACTGTGTCATGCTGTGTGCTGGGAGGGATACTGGCAGGAGATACCGTTCTAGTGCTTCTCTACACTGTCAAGTAAATGTGGGCACAGGCAAGATGACACACACAGAATTGGAGTGTCTGAGGTTTGGGGAACAGGAGCTTTCATACCTAGAAAAACTGACATCCAGCAAGAGTGTGTGTCTTGCCCAGTATCACACAGCAAATCATTCACAGGATGTTGGAACACTCCGAGGAGGACAGATGTGAAACCTCTCATCTGGCACCTCATCTGATATAACGCCATCATCCTGTCCCTCCTGGGGAGACTGAGACCCTGAGAGAGGGGTTTTGCTGAAGGTCACACAGGCCGAGCCCAAGCTCCATTTGAAACAGAGAGGCGCCCTTTGCAATGGAATCAGACACCTGATTTGACCCTGGTGCTGTCATATGCTGGCTGTGGCCTCCAGCATTTCACTGTTGTGTGGCATCTTTATCATCCCCATCTGTGAAATGAGGCCTCCTGGGGCCGTCACGAAAGTGCCTGGACATCCACCTGTCTTCAGGAATGGCTCACGGTGGCCTCAGAGGCCAGTGCAAGGCCACTGCCCCTCCTTAGGGACCAAAGACACTCAGACATGGGCTGGGCTAAAGAATAAACTTTACTCTTGTACAGCAGGGTTCTGGGTGGGCAGGGCCACAGAGCCGTGCACCCGCACTCGGTATAGGCAGGTGAAGTGCGGGTTCCCCCAGTTGCTGGAGATCTTCACCTTCACCGCACCAAAGGCCCGAAGCTGCTGGTTCTGGAGGAGAGAATTGGACACAGGAATAGGGTGACCCACACTGCCCAGCAGAGGGGCCTTTGGGAGTGGAAGTAACTCTCACTTCACAGGCCCAGAGAGGGGAAAGGATTGTCCCAAGAGCACACAGCAAATCCATACTCGGGGATGGGGATAGTAGGTGCTGAGGCCAGGACAGACCTACTGCGTTGGGGAAATGGTCCAGCCTTGAAGCCTCAGCAGTGTCTGTGCTGTGGAACCTGGGGCGAGGCACCACACCCCTCGGGGCCTCAGTTTCCCCCTTCTATAAGACAGGAGTGGCAAAAGCTGCTCCCAGTTGCTGTGGGCATGAAATGTGACCGGGAGACTGGAGGGCTCACCAGCCGATGGCGTCCTGTCTGCCCCTCTGGAGGACGGGGTCGGGGAGGGCTATGTTTGGTGCAAAAAGGGAGAGGTGCGGCCTCTGTGATCTCACTGCTTGGTTTCAAACTCCCAGGTATTTACAGGGGTGCAATGGAGGTTCAGAGAGGCAGAAAAGCCCGAAGATAACACATAATTTGTGGCCAGAGTGAGATTTGGGCCAGCCTGGGCACTTGCCTTGACAGGCCCCCTTGCCGATTCCAGCCACCACTAATCCTGCTTCTTTCTGTCCCCAACTCCCTTCCCTTGAGGCCTCAGTTTCCCTACCTGTCACTGAGTCAGGTGCTGATCAGAGAGCTCCCAGTGTACAGACTCTAACTTTGGAGTCAGCACCCCCACCTGATGGGTGCAACATCTGCTGCCCCTGGGAAAAGGGCAGCAAGAGGACTCCTGGGCAGATCAGGGAATGTGGGGACTTCCAGAGGCGGCAGATCTCCCTGGGGGTCCCATTCTTGGCCCTGGGCAGTGGCTCCATCTCTCTGAGCTTCAGTTTCTTTGTCAAATGGGTATTAACAACTGTGTAGCTCCCAGGCCATGAGGGATGAGTGGGGCCCAGGGTGGGCACGGCAGGTGCTCAGGTACCTGGAGAGGGAACATCTGGATAGTGTTTTCCGGCTGGAACTGGAACGCCCCGAGGAACACCTCTTCCCCGGGGGAGCTCTCCATGCCCTGCGCAGGTAGACCAGGGTGACAAGGTCAGGGACAGGTCGTCTTCCAGGAGGTGTCTCCCCTCTCCAGCTGAGACTTGCATGCCTCCCAGGATGGGGAGCTCCTCACCTCTTTGGACAGCATTGCATAACCACACCATGTAATGGACAGAAAGAGCACTGGACTGGGATCAGAGGCTGAGGGTCTACTTCCAACTGTGCCGTTGACATGTGAGACTGGAGTGTTTCACTGACCTTACCTGGACTTCATTTTACCCGGGAGGTCCTGACCAATTCTCTGGACCTTCTCAGCAAAATGGGGGCTCCATAGTCTCTGCAGGCTCTTGGCTCTCAGGAGCCTGACTGGGATGGAGCGGCTGCTTGTGCCCATCCTTGGAGACTGGGGTCCGAGCCCGCCTTTGCCACCCCGCCCTCACTTGCAAGGCCTGGACTTCCACGTTAGGGGTCCCCCCTCACTCCCCCGCCGGCAGCTTACGTAGATGACGAAGTCCTTGGGCGCGGTGTCCAGGCTGCCTGACAAGGAGATGGTCTTGGGGATGTGCTGCACTGTGAGGTTGGACAGGTAGACCTTCTGGGCCAGCCGAATGGTCACCTGGCCGTGGTCACCCTCGAAGGCCCAGCAGTTGCCTGGTGTCATGTTGGGCTGAAGAGGTATAATAGGGACTGTAACAAGAGCCCCCCAATCTGTCCGGTTTCCCATATGTCCTTGTGCCCCAGGGGGAGCCAGTTCTGCCTTTCTGCAGATCTGGGCTGTGGCCACTCCTCCTGCGAGCTCCCTGTCTGCTCAGGCTTCCCAGCCTCCAGCCCCTCCACATCCATTCACTCATCCACGCGTTCGCTCTCACTCATCCCTCCCCTCCCTTACGTAGTCTCAGTCACCCTCCGAGACGCCATTACTGTCCCCATTTTACTGAGGACTATAGTGGGGAAGAGACAGGGCCCGGACCATGCAGAACTGGAAGTGTAACCGAGGCCACGTGACCCTGGAATGTAACATGAACCGGTACAACCTCCTGCCTCCTAAAGGGGAAGAGAAGCTCAGAGGGGGAAAGAGGTTCAGCCCAAGTCACACAGTCAAGGTGTTCATTCAGCAGGTTCTGAGCTTCTTGGAGACACAGTTCGGATGGACCTGAGCTGGAACGGCAGGTGCTAGGATGGGGATTCAGGAATTGGGGCAGGGCCTGCTGGAGGACCTGGGACCAGGGGGACTAGGGCTTCCTCACAGTGACCTGGGGGCGAGGTTATGAACGACCCAGTGGCCAGTGGAGCAGCCTGGGGGGCAGAAACTGAAAGGAGCTGGGTCAGGCTGGAGAAAGTCCCCGCATTCCTGCAGCATTTGTGTGGCTACAGTCAAATGACCTGGCTCTTTGTAAGTGGATACATCAGGAGCCGGTCCCCAAGGCGGTCCTGAGGGTTCCCGGGTCCTGAAGTTCCAGGGCTGGGGGTAGGGGTAGGGGTTCCAGCGCAAAGCAAGCTGACCCTGTCCCTGCTTGTACTCCAGCACTGGAAGCCCCCATTTCTCTGTTCTTTCCTTGAACCCATCTTGGGCCTCTGACCCTTGCTCCGGCCCCCACCTCTGCCGCCAGCTCCTATCCTCATACCCTGAACACACCCCTGCCCTTTCCCGTGTCCCCTGCTGCCCCTGCCTCAAGGATCACATCCGGGGGCTGCGCGTAGTTCCACAGCCGGATCCAGTTCCAGTTGGAGCGAGCCTTGTCACGGTTGTATGTAGCTGATGTGTGTTCAAAGTCGATGGTGGCACCTGCATGGGAGGGGAACTGCATCACTGTGCACCCACCAGGCCTTGGCTGAATTCCTGGCCTTCCCTGGAGCTCACAGTCCCCTTCGGGCAGTGGGAGCACTGACAGTCACCATGACAGCCGTAGCCAGAGCACCCACTTTGCAGGGGAGAGTGTGGGAATGAGCTAGTGCACTGAGGTGCTCCCAAGGCGCCTGCGGAGCTGGGGCCTGCAGAGCTGGTGCCCGTGGCCATCAGTGCACCCAGTGCATGGAGGGGAGATGCCAGCCCCTGGGAGCTCAGCCAGGCCCAAGTTTGCTCAGGTGTTGGGCTGCTGCCTGGTGTTCCCTGTGGTGGCCTCGTGCACCCTGCCAGCTCCTGTCCCGTCTGCTCATCTGTCTCCTCGCCGCCTCCCAGGTGCCCCTCACTGGCTCCTGCAGGCCTCTGCCCAGAGCACTTTTCACATGTGTCCCTTTGGTCAGTGCTTTTCCTTTCTCACCAGACTCAGACCAAGGGTCCCTCAGTGGGAGGCCTCCCCATGCTGGGTCTTCCAGAGCTTTATGGCTCCCGCCTGCCCTTCAGCCCCATGTTGGTTTGTTTCTGGCCAGTCTCCCAATTCCCCAGGGCGGGGAAGGGCTGTCCCAGTGACCTGTGTGTGGCCAGCCCCAGGTGTGGAGAGCAGTGAGGGGTTATAGTGGTGGGGAGGTGAGGGCCTTGGACTCTTGCCCCTGCCCTGGGCCAGACCCCATTAGGGGAAACAAAACCAGCCCGGAGCAGAGGCTAGCTCAGAGGAGGGGAGTCCCAGCAGCAGGAGTGGCTACCCAGAGCTGACATTGCCCTCTGAGGATGCTTGACATGGGCAGATGGGGGCAGGGAGGCCACTTGCCTATCGACTTCAGGGCAAAGTCTGGCTTTTCAATGTAATCTCCTTGTATCATCTTCATTATCTTCTGGACCATTTTTTGCTGAAAAGGTGGAAAACACAAGCTGTGCCCTGGTATGTTTGTATAGATGATAGTACCTTGTCTGTGTCCTCTGAAGGTGACAAGTGGCTGCAGGGCACCCTCTGTCCCTGCCTGCAGGCACTGTGGCTAGCCCTGCACTAGACAGAAGACCCAGTTGCTATGCATGAGGAAGCCCCTGGGACACAGAATCTCCTACCTCACACACGGGGTTTACTGTGAGTTTTCAAGGCCACCAGGATGGGATGTCATGTGGGGATCTTGAGCCTTTTGTTTGTGAGTATGTGCGATACTGGGGATTGAACCTAGGGCCTTTGCACTGAGATAACATCCCTAGCCTTTAAATTTTTTTTATTATTTAGAGACAGGGTCTTGCTAAATCTCTAAGTTGTCCTTGCTGAGCTCAAACTTCTGATCTTCCTGTCTCAGCTTCCCAGAGTTCTGTGTTACAGGAGTGTATAGCCACACCTAACTGGTCCTGCAGTCACTGAGGTCAAGGATAAGGCTCTACAATTAGAAAGATGCTTGCTGCTGTGGGGCCTTGGGCAAGAATCCTCTCTGAGTCTTGCTGTTTTCATCTATAAGATGGGGCAACACTCATGTCTGCTGTCCAGGGCTGCAGAGCACTGTCCAAGAGTTATACTGGTCTACAGAGCCTGCTAGCTGCCAGGGCTATTCTCAGCCTTACAGCTGTTCATGCTCAGCCTTGCAGCGCCACTAGGAAGAGTGATCCTTTGTCACTCCCCTTGTGCAGATAGTGACAATGAGGCACAGAGACTACTCATGCAAGCTCCCACAGTTGGTAAGAGGCAGAGCTGGCAGCTCAGGCTGTAACCTCTAGGCTCTCCTGTTAGCTGAAGACTGCACAGTCTTATACAGGGGCAGTGAAAGCCAGGCAGCCATCTTCCCATTAGACTCCTCCCAATTGTGCTGCGAGCTGGGCACATTGGACCAATTAAAACTGGAAACTTTCATTCATCACCACTGTGAGGGAAAAGCCAGACTGTACATTCAGAAATCATATGAAATGATATTTACCATATGTACATCCAACCAAGGATGTGTGTCCAGAGCACACACAAACTCATACACAACAGTAAGACCCCTCCCTCTGAAGGCACCAGGCAGAAATCCAAATGGCCAATGAATAATGAAGACACTCATCATGGTTACCAATCAGTGCAATGCAAAGTAAACCTCCGTGGGACACTGCTTCTCACCCGCTAGAATGAGAAAATGAAAAAGACACAATTCCCATTCTTGGGAAGGAGGAGAGACAACTGGATTTGCATATGCTGCTGATGAGAGAATCTAATAAAATGAATGTACACATATCTTATGCCCTAGCAATTCCACTCCTAGACAGCCACTCCCAAAGGAACCAAGTATATATGTTCACCAAACGGTTTGTACAAGAATGTTTATAGCAGCTTTAAGGGTCTCAAATTAGAGGGGCCGGGGATTTAGTTTAGTGGTTCTACCACCTACCTCACAAGCACAAGGACCCGAGTTCAATCCCTGGTACCAAAAAACAAAACAACAAACAAACAAAAAAGAGTCTCAAATTAGAAGCAATCCAAATTTCTATCCTTAGCAGGATTGGTAATCCATGGTGTATCACCAATGGACTACTAGGCAGTGATAAAAGGGAAAAAAGCTATTGACAATCTATTAAGTCACCAACAATATAGATAGATCTTATAGACGTTATTATGAGTAACATAAAAAGAACATAGTATTATAGTTCCATTTATATAAAAATCCAGAACAGTTACAACTAATATACAATGATAGGAGTCGGACTAGTGGTTATTTCTGAAACTACAGAGCCTAGGAAGTGAGGCAAGGGAGCTGGCTGGGGCTGGAAATCTACTGGCTCGTGATTTGGGTAGGGTTACATGGTTACACACAATGTAAAATTCGCTGTGCTGGGTAATAAGGTTAGTGTGTTTTACTGTATGCCTATCTCAATAAAACAAAAATTGGAGAATCTCTGGTCTGAGGAAGAGCAGGCAGAGTTGAAGTAGGGCTTAGACTTAGTGTGTGTGTGTGTGTACCCTGACCACAGGGATTTCCTCCGATCCACTCACTTCCCAGCCTTCTGGAGAGAATAAGCCTACCCACAACACCTTACCAGGTGTTCCACAAGGAAATGTGCCCAACAGGGAAGTCCACAGCTGCCAACCTCCACGGCAGACTTTCAGAGCTAGGAGCCAGCTTGTTTGTTCTCTCTGTTAAATCTAAACAGTCAACTTAAGGATTGCCAGATAGCCAGGGAGAGGCTTGAAGAGGGAGGAAATCAAAGCACAGTGGGCCACCCTAAAGTGAGCTCATGCAGGAAGAAGAAAATGTCAAAAAGAAAATAATCCTTACAAGCTCAGAGAAATCAGAAAATATATTGTGTTCATGAAACAAGAATAGAATTCTACAAAAAGGGAAAGCCTAGAGAACAAACTCAAAGTTTTGGAGAATTCAGAATATGTTAGCACAAATAAACTCAGTAGAAGTTTTGGCAGAGAAGGCTGGGAACATTTTCTCAACTGTACAACAAACAGACAGAGAGAAAAGGGAGAAATGGAAAAATAGGTATCAGATCAGTTCAGGAGTTAGCATCCAAATAATAGGTGCCTAAAAATGAGAACAGAAAAAAAAAAAAGGACTGGTGAGAAAAATCACTAGTTTAATCACATGACTGATGAACATTTTTTAGGGCTGAAGGATGTGAGTTTCCAGACTGAATGGTTACTAAGGGTGGCCAGCCCATTTGGTGAGAAAAATCACTAGTTTAATCACATGACTGATGAACATTTTTTAGGGCTGAAGGATGTGTTTCCAGACTGAATGGTTACTAAGGGTGGCCAGCCCACTGGCATGTTTTCCTGACAGTTCAGATGTCAGGTAAGATGAGGTAAGCTCAATGTTTACAATAACAACAGCTATAAAAAGTCAGGGTACTAATAAATCATACTTTAGAGCCATTAAAAGGGATAGGAGAAACAAGGACCAGGTGAACTAAGTTTCTAGAGTCAGGAGAACCATTCTGAGATTTGCTGACAACTTCTATTAATCTCTGGGGGCACCTGACGATTCTGGGCATGAGCTGAGAATCTGTGCTTAGGCCAGACAATGGACTCCTCCTAGCGAAGGAGAAAGCAGCAAGGCTGTTAATGATCACACAGGAACAAAGTGACAAACCTGGGTCTGAAGGAGCCTCCAACATGGCCAGTTTCCCCTACAAGATGTTAACTGAATTGCAAGATAGGAGCTACTTCCAGAGTTCCTGAAAGGCAGAATAAAACATTATATCTGCATATAGCTTAGGAAACAAGATCCCTCTGAGGGAAGATGTCCCGAAACAGAACAAGCATGAACTGGAAGCCCTAGGACAGTGGCTCTCTTTGGTCTGTGTTAGAAACAAGTGGCACGGTTCCAAGCCTCAGAGTACCTGATTCATTAGGCCTGGATGGGGCTCAGGTGTGGTGCCACAGGTGTGTGAACCATATTGAGATTTCACTGCCCTAGAAGAAATGGTGAGTCAATACAGAGATCAGAAGCTGCATTTTCCCTAGGACACCACCCCTGGGCACAAATAGACACTGAGTTTTCCCCTGCCATACAAGGTACCACACTGCAGCAAGAAATTTTGCATTCATACAAGAATAGATGACAAAATTGGAAACTTCAGAGTCTTCAAACATATGGCTAATCTTGCCATTAAAACATGTAAATTTTTGTTTTGTTTTGTTTTTTAGTTTTAAAACAGGCCTGCCTGAAGTAGGTGAATAGTAGCTGTGAGTGCTATTAGCTCTCTTGAATTTGGCTACTCGTTAATTTTTAGGGAGTGTAAACCAGGCTTAAAACTACTGTGTAAACAGATACTTATTTTTCTCTAAATAAAATGTTTTAAACAATCCTTTAATTGTTTATGTTTTAAGCAATCCTTTAAAAATCTCATCATGGGTATTTTTTACAGCAAATAGCCTTCTGCCAATATCTGCAAATTTTTGAAGCTGCATGGGCAAGAGTCCAAAGAATTAACTGAAAATCTGAGTAAATTTTATAAAATTTGTAGGTGAGTCTGTCTGAATCAGTTCAATGCATGTCTAGAAGGATGTGGTCAGTCTCTTCATTTTCCTTTAAAAAAAAGCAGAGGGGGGACTTGTTTGGTGGGAGATATAATTACTTAACACATATAGAATGTTTTTGTATACAATGTCTAGAAAACACTAAAAATTACTGACATTAAAAAGGAAGATCGTATAGTTTACACCCAAGAGGAAAACAAAACAAAACCGAAGACCATAGATAATTCAGATATTGGTGTTAGCAGACAAGGATTTTTTTTTTTGGTACAGGGGATCAAACTCAGAACCTTGCTGTTATGAGGCAGGCAGCTAAATCCTCAAGGATTTAAATCAGCAAGAATTTTTAAAATAACCATGACTTATGTGTTAACTAAAACAAAGGAAAAGATTGACAACATAGACAAAATGATGGAGAATTGCACCATAGAATTAAAATCATAGAATCAAATGTATATTTTAAAATGAAATAATGCAATATTTAAAATTAGTAGATTTCACAGAATTATTAGTAAGCCTGAAGAAATTTCAAAAGAAAATATCAAAGCTTAGGCATGAAAAATTAAAAAATAAATGAACCAGGTAATGGTAATAACATATCACGTGAAACACACTTTAATGATTTAGCACAGATGTATTCAGAATCTAAGAGAAAAATTGAGGTGATGTTGAAGAAATAATATTTTAAGAAAGAAAGGATAAGAATTAAAACAAAAACTATCAACCCAAAGATTCCATAAACTCAGCCAATCTATCTCCCATGTGGGAGTTACACTGGAGTGAAAAGGAAGGGATAGAAACACATAAGACACAAAGGGCCAATGATAAGAGTGGCAATAAAATTGTCAATAGCAACAGTATAAACTAGAATACAATGGTGGACTCCCTTCAAAATTCTTAGGAGAAACTTTCTAGAATTCTATACCCAGCCAAATTATCAATCAAGTGCAATAGTTAAAATGTTTTTAAACATGCAAGTTGCAAAAAATAAATATACCTCTTCTTTTATTCTTTTTTTTTTGTCACTGGGGATCAAACTCAGGTTATAATGCTTACAAGGCAGGCAGCAGAACCTCTGAACTAAATCCCTGGCCCCTCTTCTTTTATTCTTTACTAAGAGCTTATTGGGAGACAGGCTCCATCAAAAAGAAGGATAAAACCAAGAAAGAAGATGACTTGGCATATAGATCATACAGGAATTGAAATAAAGAAGTTAGATTTCAGAATGGCCAGTGTCTCACCTCGTCTGACATGGCTTCCATCTCTTTGAGTTTGGCAATGAGCTGGTTCACACTACCTCGAAGGTCCTGGATTTCCCCAGTGTGATGTCGTACCTTCTCTTGGTACAACCTTATCAGGAAGGAGTAAATACAACAATGGATTGCTTTGTGATGTTGCTATTGTCAACCTCAAACTCTCCTTTTGCTAGTCAGCTAGTCATCCTTCACAGAACTAGATTGACTTTATCCACTGTCTTTGGCCTATCCTTGGGCCTATTCTTCCTGTTTAGAATACCCTTAAGACCAGCTCCTTCCTTTCTAATGGTTCTGAGAATTTTGTCTGTAATTAAGGATGCAGATAGTGACTTGTTGACATATATATTTATTTATTTATATTTTGGTACCAGGGATTGAACTGGGGACCTTACTCTTGCTCTTGCAAGGCAGACAGCTGCACCACTGAGCTAAATCCTTGGCTTGACTAATATTTCTTCTCAGCTACCATTTACTGATTTCTGACTATGTACTAGGAACCAGTCAAGGCTCTTTATATATTTTTATAATGTCCATAATTACCTAGAGCAAGGTGGGTAATCTACCTCATCTCACAAATAAGAAGTCAAAGGCCCAGGGAAGTGAAGAGACCTAAATAGGCTAGACAGGTAGGATCTGTAGGGCTAGGATTTAAATCCAGGTTGGTCTGACCGTATAGCCTGCATTCCTAGCCAATGCACTTTAACTTTTTGCTTTAGCTGTGGTTTTCAGGAGATAGGATTAATAAACAGGTTCTTCTTACCTCAAGCTCTTCAGTGGACTATTTATGCTGCCATCCTGGTAGAGTGTCGAGGAAAGCAGGGATCTCCATGAGATGGCCTAATCTGGACCTAAGAGAGCTTCATCCATCCATTCTCTCACAACCATAAATCCATCCATTCACCTAACTTCTCGTTTACTCTTCCATCCGTCAACCCACCCACAGTCCTCCAAACTCTAGTAACTTTCCTTTTTATCCATCTACGCCCATCCACCTACCTTCCACATTCATCTACTGTTCTACCTCCCCAAATCCCCCTTCTATATACCCTCTCATACATTCACCCTAGCTCATACATCTACCCTCCCTCATTCATCTATCCTTCCATCCATATGTACATCCATCCATCCACTCACTCATCTATTCCATCTGACTTCCCATTAATCCAATATCTCACCCATCAATTTCCCCCTTATATATCCACCTGCCCTCCTGTAAGTTCCCTTATTCCTATCTCCTTTACATACAACTTCTCTTCATCTATCCATCTGTTCACTCATCTATCCTTCTAGCCATTCTTCTGTTCACCCTCAGCCACATGGCTGGCAATTCAGCCATCTAATATCAATAGATGGCAGCCCTGTGCCTGGCACTGAGCTGGACATTGTTTGGATGTGTCAGCTCTTTCTCTTTCCTTCAAACTGCTGCCAGAGAGTTGGGAAGACAGTCATAGTTACAGAAAATCGCATTTATGATTATAAAAAATTGTGAGAGGAAGGAGAATATGTCTGCTCTGTCTTGGTGTTTCTGGAACAAGTGATACTTTCGCTGAGCCTTGAACAATATGAAGGCATTTATGAGGAAGAGAGAAGAGGGAAAAACAGGGCCCTCGGGACCCTATCCCTTATAGGGCTTCTGAGACTTCCTTAAACAGGGAGCTCTGGCCACTTGTTTTCTTTTCTTTCCTTCCCAGAAACCACAAAGAAAATGGATCTCATCTCATTTAAGCAGAAATGAACAAACTACCTCCAGTAGAGAGAGAAATGTGTTCCTATTCTCATTACTTCGTTTTAGGTGGAGGCCTTCAGAAATGAAAGGTGGGGCACCTTTGAGGGAGACTGACAGGAGAGTTACTGTGGTGGAAGAACTATTGCATCTGATCTTTGAACATCACACTTGGTAGGAGAGATGGGTCCCCCAGGTGTCCCCCAGGGTGACCAAGGCAGAGATGTGGATCAGGAATGAGTCAGTGAGCAAGGGATTGAGGGGGTTAGAATGGGAGGAGAGTGGGGGGGGCTGGTTGCGATGAGAGAAGTCAACTGTGGCACCTGAGTAGGACACATACTCACCTGCCAGACTTCCATTTTTGATGGTAAGTGCATAGAAAGCATCCAGAATCCTGTGGGGCCAGAAGAAAAAAGAACGAGCCGCTTAACATATAAAGAACCTGGGTGCTGGAATAAAGGTGCCTGAGTTCAAATCCCAGCCTTAGCACTTACTAGAATTGGGTAACTTTGGAGACTTTACCTAACCTATCTATACCACTTTCCACCTTGGTAAAATGGGAACAGCAGTAATGCTCATTCCATGTTCAAATGGTATATGTTCTATATGTCACATAAGCTCTATGATACTTGTCTTCTTCCACTCTCCTGTCCTCTCCTTGCTGGGGATAATTGACCAAGAGAGGAAAGCAGGGTGGTCTCTTTTGGGTGGTGACATTTTGTGATCTCCAGTTTGACTGAAATCTCATCATTGAAGCCATTATGTAAAAATCTTTAAAACTTATGTGTGACTGATGAAGAATTTAACAGACTAAGAATAGAAGAGTATTTCCTCATCCTGATCAATGCTGTCTATGGAAAAACCCACAGCTGGCATCATACCTAATGATGCTAAGGTATCATGCATTAGCATTTACCTGCTAATATCAGGAATAAGACAAGACTATCTGCTCTTGCCATTTCTAATTAACATTATTTTGGGGGTCCTAACCAGCTCAGTTAGTCAGGAAAAAGAAATTAAAAGTATCCAGATTGGTAAAAAGGAAAGAGTAACACTATCTCTTTTTGCAAATGACATGATCTCACACATAGATTCTTCAGGTAGTGAAGACTAGGCATGTTGCCCAGTGTCAGAACTAATAAATTAGTTCATCAGGTTGCAAGATTAATACACAAAATCAATTGTATTTCTATATGATGGCAACCAACAATCTGGAAATGAAATTAAGAAAACAATCCCATCTACAATGGCTTCATAAAGAACGAAATACTTAGGAATAAATTCAATAAAAGAAGTGCGACATTTGTACTCTAAAAATAAGGAAACGCTGTTGAAAGAAATTAAAGACACAGAGATGTCTACCAATAATGTAAAGATATCCTATATTCATGGATTGAAAGACTTAATATTGTTAAGGTGACGTTATTTCCCAGATTTGTCCACTGACCAACGCAACCCCTACCAAAATCCCATTGGAGCCAGGAGTGGTGGTGCACTCCTGTGATCCCAGCACTCGGGAGGCTGAGGCAGGAGGATCGCTGTGAGTTTGAGACCAGCCTGGGCTACATAGTAAGTTCCAGGTCAGTCTCAACTACATAGTGAGACCCTGTCTCAAACAAACAAACAAATAAACATCCCATTGGCCTCTTTTGCTGAAATTCATATAGAGATGTACAGGATCCATCATAGCCAAAACAACCTTGGAAAAGAACAAAGTTGGAGGAATTGCACTCCAGGTTACAAAATTGACAATAAACTGTATCAGTCAATCCAGAGTAGCAATGGCATGTGGATAGACATATAGATCAACGGAACAGAACTGAGAATTCAGAAATAAAACCCTCACATTTAGTATCAACTGAATTTCAACAAGGGTGCCAAAACAATTGTGAGGCAAATAATAATCTTTTCAATAAATGGGGCTGGCAAATCTGTATAGACAGAAAAAAAATGGTTGCCTAGGAAGAATGTGGAAATGACTCCTATCAGATGAGAGGTTTCATTTTTGATCGATGAAAGTCTTCCCAAACTCGATAGTGGTGATGGATGTACAATCTTGTAAATGCACTAAACACCACTGAGTTATATTTTTAACAGGGTGAACTGTGTGGTCCAGAATTGTCTCTCAATTGAGCTGTTCTTTCAGAAAATCCTATTGTTGGGCTAACGCAGGGACGTTCTCTTGTCCTCATTTTTCCTTAGGGGATCTGATTCTCTCTTCCTCCCCCACTGACACCCCACTGCAAGGCCAGCATGCTGCAGTGGAGTTGGGGCAGTTTCCTCAGCTTGGGAAAGCGATGCTGGGACATGGGCGGCAGTGGAGGTGGCCAGAAAGAAGCCATGGAAAGCCAGAAAGAGGCTGTAATAATGATCACAACAAGGTTTGGAGAGAGCTTTACAGTTTTTGAAGCACTTCTTAGCTTTCAAAATGTTTTCTTGGTCATTTCCTATATTCCTTACAGCAGCCCCTCCTTAGACAGATGGGGGAACTGAGCATAGAGGGGCAGTACCTTCCCTCTGTCAGTGGCAGAGCTCTTGATCTTCCCTCCCCAGGATGGGCCAGGGCCCAGGGTGCTCACACCCAAGAGAGAGCCCTGGAGACTCACCAAAGGCACAGAGGATCAGAACGCCCGCCTTCCCCATGAGCTTCTGGCAGAGCAGCTTGAACCTGGGAGCCAGAGAAGCCATGATCACGAGGGGCGGGAGAGGTGGACAGGGGCTCCCCTCCCCGCCCTCACTCCCTTGCTGCTCCTGCAGGCTCCCGTCCTGCAGCTATCTCCCTGCTACACTGGCCTTCTGGGATCAGCCCAGTGACCTTCCCCTTAGAACCCCAGGTCGACATGCTTAGCACTTGGTTTTGTGTCTGCCTCTGGAGGAGCTCATGAGTGGTGGGGCCAAGGCTGGACCCAGAGTGAGCATTAAGGAAAGGTTACAATTTAAACTTTAATTGAATGAATGAGGCAGACAGCTCTTCAAGAGAACAAAGGAATTTACATGGATTTAGCAGGTAAAGGGAGAGAAGGAGCAGGTGGCCCAGGCAGGAAACACAATTGTGAAACCTCAGCCCTGTCTTTTCCATCAAAGAATATAAGCAAGAAGACCTCCATCTTAACCTCTGGTCCACCCTAGGCTGCCCTCCCTCACCCCTTACACCAAAGTTACTGGCAGTGTCTGCTCAGTTTAGACTCTGGGAACACAACTGACCACCAAGGGTAACTTATCGACAGCCAAGGACTCTTCGTCCTCCATACGCTACTCTCCCCTCCCTTGGCCACTTTGCCCAGCAACCCTTCAGGCATGGCCGTAGCATGTTCAAACTAGCCGATTGGGATAGATTGTGAACCTTCTAACAAGCCAATGGGGAGAAGGTCAGCGGCTTCTTACACATTAGAAAATAAAAGCAGCCTTCTGCTGTGCCTCTGTGTGCACTCACTACCTCACATTTGTGCCCTTCTACAGAAGTAGGACAACCTTGCCTTGTCAAGATTTCTTGATGTCTGAGTGCTTTATTATCTCCACTGACAAAATGACTCTGGGGACGTATTCCCAACACAGCCCAGGCAGAAGCATAGGAACAGTGTCCAGAGAGAGAACCCCAACCTGGCTGGCCCTGTGGGTCCACAGCAGGAAGCCAAATGAGGGCAGCTTGGAAAGGAAACTGGGGCAGGATTTCAGGGGGGCTGAGGAGGAGGATCTAGAGCCAGGGAGGCACAGTGGATTCTGGGTTGGTGCTCTGATAAAAGCCAGGTTTGGGGTTGCTTATCCATTCTGGCTATCAGGAGGAGGCCCAAACCCATGAAGGGGATGCCTGATCACCAGCAGTCCTCTGTCCCCATTCCCCTACCTCTTGCTCACCTGCAGGTGTTGAACAGGACTTGCTGGGCTTGGGTTCTCAGGAAGCAGGCCAGGCAGGTGAACCAGGCTGCAGTAGAGACAGGAGGGCCGTGAGTCCCATCGCGCAGACTCACTGACTGTCCCGGGGCTGGAGGAGAGCCTGGAGCTGGAGACCCCCTCGACAGCCCCTGGTTCAGGCCATAGGTGAGCACCAACCTGGAGTGAGTACAGACCCCACTGATGAGCACTGCTTGCCAAGAAGTGGCACTTAATAGATGCCAGCAGTGACTCTGGAGCACAGAAAGCACCGGGAGCTTGGCAAGGACTGTGTCCTTGTTGGGTTTATATCCAGGTGCCTAACATGGAGCTAGGAAAAAAGTAGGGATTCAGGATGACTGGGAGTGGAAGGTCACATGGATGGCTGAAGGACAGAGAAGAGAGGGGCTGCCTGGCTTGGAAGATGAATGAGTAGGAAAATGTGAGAGCGTGGGAGAAGGGGAGGATGGATGGATGGGCAGAGAGATGGGTGAGCAAATGGATGGATGTATCAACAGATACCAGTGTGGGTGAACTGACGAATGAGGACTCAGTGGAGGGAGGGAGGACTGCACGGGTGGATGGATGGATGGCTAAGTGGATGATGGAATCAGAGCAGAGGCGAGCTGGCAGGTAGCTCCTCCTTTAAACAGCAAGTCTCCTTCCTACTTCCCCTTTCAGTCACCAGAGACCCCTCCTGGAAGGACCCTCTGTAGTGAGGCTTCAGAGCTCAGCCTGCAGCTGCCTACAAACCCTACAGCAGGGCTGGCCTTGCCTGGCCGGGGTCCACATGGCCTGAGACTGGACCCTTTCCTTGGCCACATCGATGGCCAAGCTGGGGCTTCAGTGCATACATACACACATATCCCAGCACAGAGTGTGTCAGGCTGACGGCTGGGGTGTTGACGTGGGCAGGCAACAGGGAGCCATCATCTGCAGAGAGAGTGGGACTGTCAGGTTGCTGCCAGCCTCTGGGACAAGAGCTTGGTGTGAGTCTCCCCCCACCCTGCTACCGTCTCCTCCTCTTCCCGGGCCCCCTGAGTGGCCTGTTAGACCTTTATGAGCTGCCCACCAGCCCCGGGGGTCCCCCTCTTGACTCACTCCTGCCCGCTGTGGGCTCCTCAGTCACCCTGCAGGGGTTCCGGCTTTGCTGATTGCCCCTGGGGACAAAGGTCATGATCACAACCCACATTTTTTTGCAACCGGGGATCGAACTTGGGGCGTCGGAACCACTGAGCTAAATCCCCAGACCCCGATCAAAACCACATTTTGAAGTTTGGAAAGTATGTGATGTTACCACATTCCAGAGAGAGAAACTGAGCCGCAGAGCAGTTTACAAACTGCCAGGCTACACCTCAGGGATGGATCCCTCTGGCTGGTCCCAAATTCAGGCCTCTTTTGAGTTAGACTGTGGTTATCACGGCCACTATGGGGATTATCACCCAAAAGCCATCCCATGCTCCTCTTGGCTTTACTTTTGTCTTGTACCTCGTATACTATCCTTCTTCTCTCCCATGAGATTTAAGGCCTCAGATTGTTGAAGCCTGTTGTGGCCCACCCAACCCCTTGGTTTCAAGGACGGGACCTCCGAAAGGGTGAGGTGGGGTGGGGTGTGGTGGCTCTGGCCATATAGGACTTGGGGAAATGATTTTGTCACTGCTGAAAGGAGACTTACAGAGCAGTGTCCACTTTTCCTCTACCCTAGATAGCCATGTTTCTGTATGACACCAGGAGCTGTGGAGGCCATCCTGTGACTGAAGAGAGAGGAGGCTAACAAGGAAGGCCAAATGGCAGCAATAGCTTGGGTCTTGGAAGACATCAAAGAATGGGGATTCACACACTCTTTTGACCCTCTTGGGAGGTGAGACAAAAGTATTTATTTCTTAAGGCCATGGTCTACAAACTTTTTACAAGTTATTCCTCTTCAGTGTTTATGTTTATTAAGAAACTATCCGTATGCCTATTATAATTTGGATGTGGAATGCCTCTTCTTCAGGACCCATGGGTTAAAGATTTGCTTTTCAGGTGGCCCTGTGGGACAGTGCTGTGGACCTGTAGGAGGTGGGGCCTAGTGGGAAGTCCTTGGGTCACTGGGGTTCTCCTTGTTGTGCGAGCCCAGGCTTTTCCCTTCCTCACTTCCTGTCTCATGAAGAAGTTTTGTTTCCAGTCACTCTCACCATGCTGTGCTGCCACACAAATCAAGAGCGGGCCACTTGACCATGGACTGGAACCTCCATAGCCATGAACTCAAATAAACTTTTTTGCCAAGTTAATTACCTCAGGTCCTTTGTTATAGTGACAGAAAGTTGACTAACATAATACCTAGTTAGGCTACATATTATTTATCCTTTCCAAATGTACAGATTTATTTATATATTCCTAAAGAATGTACAGGGAGTAGGGTGAATAGTTTACAGCATCTTATTATGTATCTCAAAATAACTGAGAGAGAGGAGGCTGAAGTTTCCCAAGATAAAGAAGTGCTCATTACCTGATTTGATCATTATATGTAGTACATAGGTACTGATTATCACATTGTCCCCCATAAATATGTACAATTCCTAAGTGTCAATTAAAAACAAAGGGATTAACTAAAAATACACATTCAAATTTTAATAGTTTCATCTCTCACTCTTGTGGCTATTTTTTTCCCTAGTATTGGGGACAAAACCCAGAGTCTCAAACAAGCTAAGCAAGTGCTCTGCCACTGATCTACAGTTGCAGCCAGCCCTTTTTTACTTTAATTTTGACACAAGGCCTCACTAATCTACTCAGGCTTCACTGATCTGATTGTGCTGGCCTCAAACCCTTGATTCTCCTGCTTCAGCCTCCTGAGTAGCTGAGATTATCATAGTTTGTTTTGTCTACATTCCTGGGATACACTCCCTGTCCTGGGTCCCAGAAGTGGGTATCATTTTAGGTTGGAATTTCTGTAACCTGCAACTGGAGGCTCCCTGACAAATACAGGGGACAGAGATGTGCATTTTCTTGTTCAGTGCCTGCCTCCCTCACTAGTGTGAGTCCCCTGAAGGCTGGGAACATATGGGATTGTCACAGTACTATGCTCCCTGGCCTCTGATAGAGCAATAATACACAATAAGATAGACCTTTCCCTTGCCTGGCCTCCATGGGTTTTTTTCCCCCCCCATAAAATGTTTTGTTTTGGAAATGTAACAGTTTGTGCTGCTCCTGTCCAATGTATGAAGATGTTTTGCCAACTGTTTGAATCGTGTGACCTTTCGGGAATGTTCTGTTAAGCTTTGCCCCCTTGTGAGAATGTCCTGAACTCTGTCCCTATGTGTCAGTGAGCACGCTCACACTGCGTGTGTTTCAGGAATGTTCTGGAACTCCGCCCCGCCTCCCCGCTAGCTTCCGTGAGCGTCCTCATCTACGCTGCAAACCCCTATATAAGGAGGCTCTCGTTTCTGGTATGCTCAGACTTCAGACCACAGACTCCTCTGAGCCTGCTGGTGTAATAAAGGTTTTTCTCCACTTCTTCAAGTGACCTTTGGATTCTCGAGTCTTCGAATTGTAACAGCTACAGCCCAGAGCTGCCACACTGAACTATGAGGCTCAGCTGTGTCTCAGAGCTGCAAGCCAGAGCTGCAAGACTGAGTGTAAATCTCTCGTTTCTGGTATGCTCAGACTTCAGACCACAGACTCCTCTGAGCCTGCTGGTGTAATAAATGTTTTTCTCCACTTCTTCAAGTGACCTTTGGATTCTCGAGTCTTCGAATTGTAAGAGCTACAGCCCAGAGCTGCCACACTGAACTATGAGGCTCAGCTGTGCCTCAGAGCTATGGCACTTGGCTGTGACACTGAGCTGTAACACTTGGCTGTAGCACTCAGCTGCTCTGCTGTGCCATGACACTCTGCCCCATGCCTGGCACACAGTAGGTGGCTTCTCTGCCACTTCCTGGCTAGAGACTTTGGGAAGCCACTATCAAATGTCTTTGGCCTCACTCGGCTGCTACATCTGCAGCAAAGTTGCTGCCCCCAGCTTACCTCCCAGGAGGGGAGGAGGCCTTTTGTAAACTGTAAAGGGCTGGGCAAAGAAAGCAGCTGCTATCCTCACCTCCTGGGCCTGGTATTGTAGGCCACATCTTCAGACAGGATACATGGGTTCCCAGGGTTCTTTGAGGACCGTGGCATTGATGTCTTTCTCTAGAATGGAGGAATGGTGGTGAGATCTCTGGGACTCAATGAGGAGAAAGTGGCTGCTGCCACCACCTCTGAGCGTTTCCTGGAAGGTGACATGTGGACTAGCTGGAGTCAGGTGGAACTGTGAGCATTGTGACCTCACAGTGTAGGTAGGTGGGGAGGCCATCCTCTCTAGCTTGGCTCCAGAACCTTCCCATCAGAGGATGCCATTATGAGTACCTCTCCATCTTTAAGAAAGGGAAACTGAAGGCATAAAACAGGAAGAGTTGGGTCAGGCCTTCAGGGGCAGGGTAGGGGTGCCAGCTGAGGCTCCAGGAACCAGGCCAAGTCACACCGAGCTTTTCCTTGGTAGACATTTTGTGACACACAGAATAACATTCCATGTGCTGTACTTACTGCGGAAAATAAAAGTGCAAGAGACTGTCTGGCTAGTTGTTTCTCTGGAAGCTAAAATGAACTTATTTTTGCCCTCCTGCTGGCCTTTGCAGGCTATGTCTCTATGGGAAGTGGATTAATAATGTTCCTCCAAAGAGGCTGGCACCCTAAAACCAGCACATGTTAAGTTACACAGCAAAGGGGAGCTGAAGGTAGTAGATGGAGTTACGGTCACTAAGCTGACCTTGAGGTGGGGCGACTATCCTAGATTATACACGTACACCCAGTGCCATCAGTGGAAGAGGGAGACAGAGAAGTCGCCTTGCTGGCTTTGAAGGTGGAGGTGGAACCAAGAGCCAGAAGCTGGAGACAGCTAGGAAACAGGTCCTTTCTTATAGACTCCAGTGGGGAATGTGGCCCTGCCAACACCACCTAGATTTTAGCCCAGCAAGACCCACTTTGAACTTGTGACCTCTGGAGCTGGAAGATGGTACATTTGTGTTTTGAGTCACTAAACTGGTGGGCATTTGTTACAGCAGCAGCAGGAGGTGGGTACAAAGCTCCTGAAAGATCCGTGGAGAGGAAACAAATTCTACCATCAGTTGTGACAAGGGTCTTTCTACGGTGCGTTCATTCATATTTCTACTCAACAAACATTAAGCATCTAGAATGCTCCGGGCACTGACTATGGGGTTGAGCAGAACCAACTCCCATCTCAAGGATGAGGTAGAGTGGATGCAGAACTCTTCGTGTGTACCAGGTACTCAGCGAACAGTGCTTGACTTTGCTGGAGGGAGGCCACTGGGCACTGGGATGGGCTGATGGGAATCCTTCCTTTGTGTTACCTGGATGGCACCCAAATGTCCCTTGTGTTTGAAGTGTTGGCAGATGTGTTCATGTCAAAGCAAACACTGAGAGTGACTTTGGTCAATATTTGCAGATTTTTGGTGTGTGTGCTTCTAGGGATTGAACCCAGGGCCTTTGCACTGAGCTAATATCCCTAGTTCTTTTTATTTTGAGACAAGATCTTGCTATGTTGATAAATTTTCCCAGGCTAGGCTAGAATTTGTGATCCTCCTGCCTCAACCTCCCAGATTGCTGAATTTTTGAGCTCCTATGCATCGAGTTTACTGTTTGCTTAGGTTCTGATGAGGGTCAAGAGGGCCTAGACTTGGTCATCAGTAGACAAATTATAGCCAGGAGTGGGATGTTAGGGTGCTTGCAGCAGGCTCTTCTCCCATCTTCCCTGCCTCTAGAATCGGGGCTGGGAGCACTGGCCAGGAGTCAGGGTTGGTCCAGGTGTTGCCTGGCCACCCAAGAAGAGCTTGACTTGTTTGTGGTCCCTCTCAGCTGTGTAGACAACAGTGAAGACCCGGTTGAGAGTGGGCCTGAGCTTGGGGCTGGTATCTGGGCGGGTATGGAGTCAGTGGGAGTCACAAAGGGCTTCGAATGGGGGAATCTCTGAGGCCCCTGGGGCCTCTGCCGTGGGTGAATCATGCGGAGGTACAGAGAAGTGTTTCGTGCATTTGGGCCATCACCCACCACACACACAGACACACAGACACACACATGCACACCCCCTCCCAGGGAACAGCCCACTGTACACACATGCACCTACCACGTACACTCACAGACCCACAGACCCAGCAGACCAAGCCCACACATGCACACACCTACACAAAACCTGTCACATCTGCGCCCATGTCAGGTTGTATAAATTGGCTTGTCATGCTGTCTACCAAGAGTTCAGCTTGCCAGCCCCCCACCCCTGAACACACCTCTTCCTCTGATTCCAGTCATCACACACGAATGCACACGTAGGCCTGTAACCATGCACACAGACCCTTCTCTCTCGCACACCCAGTGTATGTCTAACTGCCTCACATTCATACCCAAGACTTCAGGTCCTGTCAAGCCAGGGTGGACTCCTGAGTGTGTCCCATGGAAAGAGTGATGGCTTGGGCCCCGGCTGTGATGTACATTTATAAAGGGGCTGGGTGTTGAGCAGTGGGGACCGGGTCATCCTTACTTGTTCATCTGTTCCCTTTTGTGTTAAGACTCAGAGTGTGACTAGGACAAGGACTCAGGCAGTGATGGAGACTAGGGCTCAGGTAACCCTCTACCCCTCCTAAAAGGGTCATGTTTCTGAGAGAGGTCAGAGACACTTAGGCTTGAGGGGTCACTGCTACTGTCCCCTGGGCCTTGTCAGGACTGGCTGGGATGATGTGGGGACATTGCTGGGAAGAGCCCTCTTTCTACCCTCCTGGACTTTGAGGCCCAGTAGCCCCTCCAGGGTCCCACAGCAGTTGGCAGCCAGGCCTGGTGACGTGGAAGCCTCATCACACCCAGGAAATGGAATACTTTGCCAAAGATAGTGTTTGCAGGGAAAACACTTACCACCACGCAGACCTGGCGCTCCCCGGGTCCCTGCTGGAAGTCTCATAAGCAGCCTCTGCCCAGTTTGGGGGCAGAGTGGGGCTGGACTGGGGCAGAGCATTCATTGTCTCCAGACTGTGAGGTAGGTAGGGGACAGGCTGGCACCTCTCTGGGGTGGCTCCCTCTAGTTGCCCCCTGCAGAAGACCTCCTTCAAGCCCGAGCTCACAGCAACTTCAAGCAAGGGCTGCCCTGCTGGCCTTGTCCAGCCCATCTGGGCAGGGGCCCTCGCCCCTCCTGCTGGGAAGGAAGCCCCTCTCTGAGTTGGACAAAGAGCTGCATGCTGGGCTGGGATGCCTTGGGAGGGCCTGGGACGCCAGGGGAGTGGCTTATCCCTGGCCATTCCTCACTGGCCAGGATGAGGCGAGGACAGGAGCTATCCTGAGTGCCTGGGAGGCTGGATGTTGGGCTAGTTGTCACTCTGGGCTGACTCCTAGAGTTAGGTGAGCCAGCCTTGGGCCTTGGGGTGATGGGCCTGGACCTTTTCTTGGGACATCTCTCTATGTGGGAGTCTTCGTCTGACATGACTTGGTTCTGGCATTGACCTGTCTACTGTGTCATGCTTGTGCCATGCCCTCTCTGGGCCTCGGTCATTTCTGCACCAGGTTCCCTTGTGGCTCCTGAGGAAGCAGGCAGAGGAAGATGGTCATCCTCAGTGCAGAAATGCAAACAGGGCTGTTTGGGCACCAGGGGTAGGGCTGAGATCACTGGCGGGCTGTGTCCTCCAGGCTGCAGCAGGCTTTGGGCTCCCTGGAGTGAGCCGTTCTGTCCAGGCTCCCTGATCGTTGTCTCCACCCCAGCCCACAGATCCTGGAGCAGTGGCTGGGCAGCCATGGCTGGGGCACATCATGGGCTGGGCATGTTGCTGGCATTACTGCTGCCTGCAGCCCCCACCTCCTTGACGGGCACTACGATCCGAATCAACAGTGCAGCATTGAGCTACGGTGAGAGTTGGGCTCCCAGCATGTGCTTGAGAGCCGTGCGTGTGTGTGTGTGTGTGTGTGTGTGTGTGTGTGTGTCTGCCATGGTCTCCCTGGCTCAGACAGTGCCAAACACATTGCTGCTCAGCAGTTGCTTCAAGGTGGATGCATGGGCAGGAGTGCGCTCTTACAGCTGTGTGCACAGGCCCTGTGGTGTGGGCACAACTGAGTGTGCTTGTTTGCAAGTGTATGTGTGCCTAAGAGTTGGTGCCCCGTGGAGATGTGTCCAGGGCATGCATGGGTATTGGGGAAGGTGTATGCATGGGCTACATGTGTGTGCACAGGTGTGGCCGCATGCCACATGTGTGCTATGTCTTTGTACATATGTGCTGAAGAGAGGTGTATCAAGCCCAGTTCTGCGGGCTCAGCACGAGGGAGCCAGCCTCATTCTGGGCCCACAGGGCCACGTCTCGGTCTTATGGCTTTGTTGTTAGATTTTGAGGGGCAGGTACTAAACTGCATACCCCAGCCCCTTTTTATTTTTTCAGTTTGAAATACGGTATCACTAAGTCGCTAATCTGCCCAGGCTGGGCTCACCTTGTGGTCCTCCTGCTTCAGCCTTCCAGAGTGCTGAGATTATAGGCATGTTTCACCATGGCTGGAGTACCGCTAGATCCTTCTGACTCCTGCCCTGTCCACTGGGAGAAGGCACAATGAGGAAGGGAAGAACAAAGGTTGTGAAGGTCCAGGACTCCAGCACAGAAATCTTTCTTCACATCAAGCTGCCTCCCAGGGTAGTTCTGAGGGTGTCCCACCAAAGCGGGGTCAGTCTGAGAAATCAGCGAGCACTTTTCCCAAGACCAGATTAAATTTAGATCACAATGTGAGGGACAGTAGAAGGCACTTTCCATGGTCCAGGCCACACAGCACTGAGTCCGTGGCTCAGGGAAACAGCAGGGTCCCCTCCCACCCTCAGGGCACACAAAGCTGTCCAGGACCTGCATCCGGGCAGATGGGCAGACGATGAAAGCTGTCAGTGATCCGTGCCACCGTGTGATCCCACACGCTGCACACTGGTGCCTGCAGGCGGGGACCTGCTACCACCCTTCTGCCCTCTGCCTGTCCTGTGCAGTCATTTGTCCGGAGGGAGTCGTCCCCTGGCGCATCTGCCTGTGTTTGTCCTTGGCGGAAACCCGGCAAGTGGCCCCACTGCACACACTGCCTCCAAGCCTGTGCTGGGTGACTCTCCCTACGTCCTCCCCACCCTTCCTATACACCCTAGAGTTCAGGTTCTGAGCCAGGGGAGCACTGTGGATAGAGTCCAAGGTCTAGGTGTGAGTCTCAGCTCAGCTGAAGATGTCAGGTTGGAGAGGGACATTGGGAACACGGAGACCACCACTTTTTACTCCTTGTCTGGGGAAACTGAGGCCCAGAGATTTCCCATCATTTCACAGTGAGTCTGAGACTGTTTATTCCTAAATTCTTGCTCCTTTCCAGCATCATGACCTCTTATTTTAACTCAATTTGCCTTTATTAGCACCTGAGTCCTGCAGTATAGGTGAGGGCATAAATCTGTAGGTATAGAGCCAGGTACCTGGGTCCCAAGCCAGCTCCCCTTGGCCAGACGTCCTTACCTCCCTGCTAGCTGGGCAGAAGAGAACATGCCTGGCACACCAGGAGGCTGTGCAAGGCACACCACGATTTCACAAAGACCCATAGCGCCAGTAACAACACTCGCCATGCAGTCTTTGCAATGGCTCTGAGTGACAAGCACCATTATAATCATCACAAACTACAGGACCCAAGGCACAGAGCGGCCACATAGGCAGTGACTAGTAGAGCTGGGGCTGGCACCCAGAACCTGAGGGACTTTAGCGTGCTCAGCCTCCGGGTGAGTCTGCTGTGCCTCTCCCAGGAGACGTCCCCTTGGCCATCAGGCTTGGGGAAGGCTCCTGAGCAGACAGGGGTCATTTGGAGCCTGGAAAGAGAATTATTGTCTTTGAGGGGTAGGTTGGATTTGAGCAGGATTTTGCGAGGCAGAAGCTGAGAGCTGTGAGAGCCATCTAAGGTGCCTCGTGTGGAGCTGGCATCCTCCCTGTGTGCCACCTGCCAGCCCATCCCTCCCTGTGTCTCAGTCTTCTCCTCTCAGGGTACAGGGCAGATGGTGGGCAGTGTGATCCTGACCTCACCCTGCCCTGACCCTGCAGTGTCTGATGTCGGGAAAGCCCCTCTCCAGCAAGCCCTGAAGGTCATGGTTCCTCCTTTCCTGGACCAGAGTGGTGACGTGCATCTGCCTATCAGGTGAGTGCTCCTTTTCCGGAGAAGGTGCTCCTGCAACCAGGTGGAACGTCCCTGCGGGCCAGGGGAGTGTTTTAGTCCACCCAGAGGGGAGATCTTGCAAGAGCGCCCCTTCCCGGTAGCTGTCCTCACAAGGCAGTGCTCTCAGCCCGTGGACACTAGGTCCAGGTCATCAAATGAGCACAGTCGCCTGTAGTGAGTCGGTCACTGGAGAGAGCTTGCATGGAGTGGCCCAGGAGAGGCAGCTTTGGAAGGAGTGAATTTCCTGCTCCGGGAGGCCCATACACCACAGGGTTTGGCTGGAGTGTGCTAAGGGGGTTTCTGCTGATCTCAAAGTCTCTTCACCGCCTTCTCAGTTTCCCAGGCTGCTGCCAGAAACTGCACAATCATCTCATCCAAGTCCTGCCTGAGGCTGGGTCCGCCTGGTTGTCTCCCTTTCCCGCTGGTTCTCCATCCTTGGCTTGCATGCTCCCTATCATGGGAAGCTGGCTACCTCTTCCTCGCCTCAGCTCCAGGGCCGGAAGTCCTGCTTTATCACAACTCCAGAGTTGATTCCGTGGCTTAACAGGGTGGTGGTGGGGTCCCTTGTTACCTTGCTTCCTACTCTGCAGGATCCAGATTCTAGATGTCCATGTGCCCCACCTTGACCTGAAATTCATTGCTGGTTTTGGGATACATCTGATGGCAACAGCCAATTTTACCATCAAGGTCTTCTGGTGAGTGAGTCTCCTTGTTGGGGGGAAGGAAGAGTTTCAGGGGTGTGGCCAGGCAGAGTAAGGGAAGGGGTCAGCATCTCCTCCCGGCCCCTCAGCCCCACCGAGGGAGGCAGGTGAGACCCCGGATCCTGCTCAGTGGCTGTGTGACTGGCAGAGGCCTTCACTTTTCCAGCTCTCCGTGTCCGCGTCTTTGTGGTGACACTTTGCAGGCGACTGTGAGGAGTGCAGTGAAAGGATTTATTATTGTAATTCATCACACAATAGGGGCTCAATAAACACAGCTATCAGAATGATTTCTGTGCCCCAGGCAGCTGGTGTTAACACATTTCTTTTTGTTTTTTGTTTTTGGTACTGGGGATCCAACCTTGTGTTTTTGAGGCAGGTGCAGCGCCGCTGAGCTAAATCCCCGGCTCCACATTTAATTTTTAAGTTCGAAACTGCTGTTCCGAGGGCCTTCTGCCTGGCATTGTGATGCCCTGAATGCTCACTGTGGCCAGGCCAGAGCTGGGTGTCTTCATGTGGGGACCTCATGGGCACCTCAGTCCAGCCCTGTGGAGCAGGTATCACCAATCTTGCGCCCATTGCACAGATGGGAAGCTGAGGCTTAGCACGGTGGTGCTGGCCAGGGTCTGGCAGAGAGGGGGTCACTGAAAGCCCAGGTTCCCAGCCATCTGCAGCAGCATCTGTGGCCCCGAGTGGGGTCGGGGGGCGTGGGGTTGCCCAGGTGGGGCTGTCTCATGCTGGGTGGGGCCTCCTGTGTCAAAAGGAGGTGGCCAGCCTGAGGCCACCGCTGGGGTGGGCCCAGCTGGATGGCACTGCTGGGACTCAGGCTGTGCCCTCACCCAGCATCCCTGAAGCTCTGGAGCTGATGATGCCTGTGGCACTGACAGCAGACGCTCGTGTGGCCCAGGGTCCCATCAGGACCCCTGTTGTCAGCATCTCCTCCTGCTCCTCCAACTTCAGCCCCGCCAGTGTGCTTGGGGACAATAACAGGTGAGTGATAGTGGGGTGCAGGGGACTTTGCACAAGGTTGGGGTGCTATTTCTGAGCCGAGTCTCAGAGCAGGGAAGGGGCTTTCCTGAGGGACAGCCTGTGTCCTGGCCATTGCCAATGCACTCTAGCAGGAACGTCCTCCTCAAGAAGGGTTCTGGGCAGGTCAGACCAGCTCCGCTCCCAGCAGAGATGGGAAGTCGGAAGGCCAGGGAGGGGTGGGGGCCAAGCTGTCAGTGTCAGGTGGTTGCTCATATCTGCGTGGAGGACGAATAGCAGCCCCCACTTCCAGCGTGCCTACTATGTGCTGGACACACTGGAGGCCCTTTATGGGGATCATCTGTGAGATCCTCACAGTGCACCACCAGTAGGTGTGAATGTTCCCCTCCTTCTACGAGAGAACAAACAAGAGGTAGAGAGCAGTTAACTGACCTTCATGAGGTCCCAGAGCCGGATTCAAGCCAAGGCAGCCTGTGATTGCCCCTCATCATGTCTGCATCTTCCTAAATGTGGGCAGGGCTCATTCCACACGGCTGAGCACTTCGGAGTCTTACAAAACAATGCAATATTTGCACAAAGCCTGGAATTTGTCCCCATAGAGGGGTGCGTTCTGCTGTGTCCTAGGATCATCAGGTGCAACTCGTGGTCCCTGAGAGTCCCTGTGGCAGGGACTGCTTCCCATTTATTGAAGGGGAGGCCCCAAGGTGATACTTACTGTAAAACACAGATGCCTGCCTCCTACCTGAGGAGATTCTGGAACTGGCGTGTAGCTTGGCAAACCAGTACCTTAGCAAACCAAGGGACACCGGTTCCTGTGGGCCACCACTGAGAGCTGCTGACTTAGATCATCTCGTTGTTGTTCGGAGAGGAACTGAGGTCCACAGCTAGGAAGGGACTTTACTAGGTATGTCACAGAGAGTTGGAACAGAAGCAGGAAACAGCCTTGGAATCCCGGCTCCAGCCCCCACCCTCACTGGGCTCCGAGTGGCCATGACAAGGTCTTGGCCACGTATAGCTTTTGCAGTGTCCTCTGTCTCTCCTCATCCTGGCTTCAGTTGTCACATTGTCGGCCACTGCCAAACCTTGAGACAAATGGCTCTCTTCTTTGAGACTCAAAGTTTCCATCTCTGCAAGCATGGGAATAATTATTCCAGCACCATCTGGCACACAGTGGGGTCCAGGGTGGGAGTCACTGGGCTCCTGGCTGAGGACAGAAGCTCCTGCCCCAGCCTTGCAGCCTTGCAGCATTGCTGAGAGAGGCCCTGGGACTGAGGACCCCTCCGTGCATCTCCTCCTTAGCACCTCCCCTGAGCTGCTGATCCTGGTACAGAAGCACATTAGAGCCATCCTGAGCAACAAGGTAAAGGTCTTCTGGCTGGTGGCCCCAGAGCGGGTCGTTGTTGCCCTCAGAAGGTGTGGGGAGCAAGTGGTGGAGTTCCATTCATGGGGAGGGGGTCACTTGGGATTTTCTCTGTGTGCAGTGCGGGGCTCCAACCCAAGGCCTCATGGTACACGCTCCACCACTGTACCACACACCTGTCCTGGGATTTCTTTTTTTTTAAAAGAAAATTCTTAATGGGGGCCTCCAATCTCCCCGTGAGGACAGGAAAGAGGGAAGAGGCTGATGTCATGGTCCAGGGAGGGCTGGAGAAACCCTATGGCCGGAGGGGAGACAGGTTTGGCCTTCTGAGGCAGCCCCTGCATTGCATGCTGGAGGGTGAGGGCAGTGTTTTCAGGGAAGACAAGGCAAGGGCATGGCAGTGGGGCCAGATGGGACCTGGCCAGGTTTGATCCTGACTCCCTACCCAGCTGTGTGCTGTGGCCAAATCCATCACCTTTGGCTGCCCTTGGCCCAACGTCACCAATGGCCGGAATCTGGGTCCTTCCATAGGCTACCCCGGGGGCAGGGGTGGACCCTGATGTCCAAGAGGAGTTTAGATCAATGCCCCACAGAGCGTGTGCTGCAGAGATTATTGCAACTTTAGCTCCTGTTGTTATCTACATATGGCTGACCTGGTAAGAGATGCTGTCCCTCAGGCCAGGGCCCCACCACCCGAGGAGAGCGATCTTCCATCCCTACCCTGTCTCATCCCTCCCTATCTCCCTGTGAGGGGCAGTAGCAGAGACAATCAACCACTGTATGCCACCCCCACCCGCCAAGAAGGGGAACCGAGGCTGAGGGGTGTGGGCTGCAGCTTGTCCTGGGAGCGCTGTAGGCTGTGCTTGGCCTTGCCCGTTGCTGCAGGCTCTTCCTATGCTCCTCCTGCGGCCCTTTGAGCCTCTCCAGGGAAACGGGCTGCAGGCAGGAAGGGAAGACCCTGTCCTCTCCTCCTTGGCCTTGCCTGGCCCCGGCTGTGAGGGTAGCCTCTGCAGTCTCTTCTTTGCCCCCATCTTTGGTCGCACCGGCCCGAGCTCAGGACGCCTCTCTGGCTCTTCTCCGTTCCCCTGACTGGCACATGCAGCCTGGCTGACATGGCCCACTGGTCACTACCTGCCACCCCACCCTCAAAGCAGCTGGCCCCCTGCACACCGAGGCAGCAGGCTCCCTGCCTCAGTTGCTCATCCTGGCTGTGGCCATCCTGACAGTCTCTCCTCCATGCCCTCTTGGTGGAGGAGGAAATAGGGCACCCGGGCTTGGTGTGCAGGCTAGGGCAGGCCTCTCTCATCCAGCTCCTAGGGCCCCTAAGCACAGCCTCCTTTCTGTCCCACAGCTATGCCTGTACATCTCCAACCTGGTACAAGGCCTCAATGTCCACCTGGGCACCTTGATTGGTAAGGTGGGCACCAGAGGAGTGAGGAGGGCTGGGGCACCCCCAACACCCTTCAAGGTTTTTTTTTTTTGTCAGGGCTGATGTCTAGGAGGTCAGTCATACGATGCCTATATTGTGGGCTCCCCAGACTGAACAATTATTCATAGAGTCTAGGAACCTCCAAATTCTAGAACCAAGTCTTAGATTCTAGAATCTGCATATTTTAGGTCAAATTATCCAAAACCCAAAATAATATCAAGTCTTTAAATGATGAACCTTAGAATTGGAGAATTTTAGCACCATGGAATTATGGAATCTGAAATAACTTACATTTTTGGAATTGAAGGATGTAAGAAACCAGATTCTCATAGTTGGAAGGCGCTTGTAGTTTTTTTGTTTGTTTGTTTGTTTTTTCCAGACAGAATCTCACTATGTACTTCAGACTGCCCTGGAACTCACTATGTAGCCCAGGCTGGTCTTGAACTCACAGAAATCCTCCTGCCTCAGCCTCCCGAGTGCTGGGGTTATAGGTGTGTGCCACCATGCCTGGCAGGGGCTTGTAATCTTAATGGGACCCTTGGAAATCTTTCTGCTCCCTTTACCCTCAGAGAGGCAGGGTGCAGGATAGAATGTTTGGGTAGGGGCAGCCTGGCACATGTTTAGGGTATGGGTCTTGTGCTTGAGATGTCACGTGAGGGTCTTGTACAGGAATGAACCTTCTTTTATTGGATGACTATATGTTTATTTTGAGGCTGTTAGAAAAGATACACAACTTTCCTGTCTACCTGAGGATTTTGTGACTATTAGTGCTGATTTCTGATTTCCTATGGGATAGAAAGTTCTTTTGCAAGTAATTTGGGAAAGAGGAAGTAGATTTAGGCAAATCTTCTAATTCAGTACAGGGAGGCTTTGTATCGAGCCATGCTTGCCCTGGAGCTGACTAACTGGGTTCCCTGCAGTGTGACTCGGGTTCTGTCACTCACCCTCTCTGGGCCTGTTTCCAGTGAGGATGTGATAGAACTTTCCTGCAAGATGGCTGCGAGGATGAAACATGACAATTCACGTCAGGTGCTCTGCCCAGCTCTGGGCCTGGGAAGCAGCTGTGTGCATTTAATTAAGTGCTGGACTTAGAGTTGGGAGGAAAAAAAAGACAACAGATGTGGTTCATCAAGCAGCTCTAGGATGGGGCATAAGCTACGCCCTCTGGCTGCCCCTGAGCAAGAAGGATGGGCCAGGAGACCCAGGTCCCCATGTGCATGGTGCGTGACTGACCACCTTGCTGCCTCAAGGTCCCTCCCTGCAGGACATGCTTGGGGAAGAGTCCATCCATGGGACCGGGACTACTGGGCTCTTTCTGTGAGTGTGTGTGTATCAGTGTATGCATGTGTGTGCATGTGCCTGAGTGTGTGCATGCACAAGAAATACCAATTGTAGCGTGATCAGTTTGTTTAACAGATGAAGAAATTGAGGGGCAGCCTGCTCTGAGAACCTGTGCTCTTAACTAAACTCTAATACCACACTCTTAAGAAAAAAAAGAGGACAGCCAGGCGTGGTGATGCACTCCTATAATCCCAGCACTCAGGAGGCTGAGGCAGGAGGATCACTGTGAAGTTTGAGACCAGCCTGGGCTACACAGTGAGTTCCAGGTCAGTCTCAAAGTCTCAACTACATAGTGAGACCCTGTCTCAAAAAAAAAAAAAAAAAAGAGGACAAATCTGTGAAGAGGAGGGGGAGCAGGGATGGGAATGTGGGAAGGGGGAGAGGGAGAAGTTGGCCTCTGCATAAGGATGTACTGAATAAGAAAGACATTTGGGATTCTGGGCAGTCTTTTCCATTTTTAAAATATTTTCTAAGTGTTCATCATGGATATGTATTATTATTTTTAAATTTTAATTTTTTTCGTATTTTCATCATGGAGTGACTTCCCCACAGCACAGTTCTCTGAGCTTTGATGAACAGAGTCCTCTAACCACCCCCTCGATCCACAACCTCCCATCAGATACCAGATGCCTTCGTGCTGCCCCCGCCTCTACCCCAGCTGCTGACTGTAGAAAGGGAATCATACTGTGTTGCTTTTACAGTCATAAAAAATTCCAAAATATTAGAGAAAATAAAATTAAATTCAGATGAGACAATAGAAAAACAAATCTGAATGGAATTAGATAAGCTTAAGTTTTTATAAATACATACTTACATATTTTATATGCTTACATATAAAATATTAGATGTTTGTATATAAATAAGATGAACCCTATCAAACTATGCAAAAGACACATAATAGATATTTAATAACAGACAAATACACGTACATAGACACACAAAATATTCACACACACACGTACACATGTGCACCTGCAACCTTGGTCACGCAGAGCTTGGGCGCTGGAGCCCTGGCTGAGCCGGGCTCTACGATGGGCGCTGGGGCTGCGCCTCGGCTGGCCGCACCTTCAGCCCTGCGCGGGATGAGGCTCTCACAGAGGCTCAGCTTTGCAACCGGCCCAGGTGGGACCATTTGTGAGTCAGGTGTTCTCAGCTGAGAGGCCACACAGCTTTGGGGTCAGACTGACCGCGTTCACCATCCCAGTGTGTGTGTGTGTGTGTGTGTGTGTGTGTGTGTGTGTGTGTGTGTGTGTTCGTGCCCAGGGGTCATGGCCTTCCAGTGATAGGGGAGGCAGAACGCATACTTGTTAGAACTGTGTTTGAACTAAGAATCACCAGGCTGCACCCAAGTGGCAGAATCCCGGCTGTGTGTACTTTGCTCCCTCAGGGGCCCTGCCTCCCTCTGGCTGCTCCAGGTGGTCAGATAATTTAGTCCTCTGGACAGATGAGGTGCTGGGGGTGCAGCGAAGAATGCCATTTTTCTTCTCCGTGCTGGTTTTATTAAGGCCTCAGCCCTGTGGGTCCTGAGTCCCAGATTCGCTATTCCATGGTCGGCGAGCCCATCATCACTGGTGAATACATTGCCTTGGATGTCAACGTAAGCGCCTCCTTGCTGTCCCAGAGCTGGGGGCTGGGGGCCTCTGGGTCTGTGGTGTCCTAGACGATTCCTAAAGGAGCAGAGAAGTTAAGGAGCTGCATTCCAGGGGGAGTATGGCACACGGGCAAGGGCACGGGGCTTACGGGGCTTGTGGCATTGAAGGGGTGGCAGTTCTGTCATGAGGCCGCCCTCTTCTTGAGCTCTTGTTCCCCCCATAGGCCGACCTCTTCTTGCTGGGTCAGCCCATCACCCTGACCCTGGATGCCACCCCCTTCGTGTTACCCTGGCCTGTGGGCACCAGGGGAACCATGGCGACCATGGGCCTCTCCCAGCAACTGTTCGACTGTATTCTGCTGCTGCTGCAGAAAGCTGGCGCCCTTAACCTGGATGTCACAGGGGAGCTGGTGAGGCCGGGCCTGCTGCCCAGGCTGTGTGGGACAGGAGCACCCTGTGGCCTAGCCCCGGGACACTCCACAGATGCCGAGTGGTGGGCAGGTGGGGCAGCTAGGTTGTGGGTCCTGGGGTCAAGTGGGTCTGCGGGGAGGGATGCCTGCCGCTGAGGGGCGAGTGGTGGCCTGGCAGAGGACAGCCGCCTTCAAACCTGATGTGTGGGGCATGGATTTCAGAATTCTGATGACAACCCTCTGAACACCTCTGCAATGGGCCAGCTCATCCCTGAGGTTGGTGACACTGCTGGCCGTTCTGGACGTCTCAGGATCGGGGTCTCTGGGCTGTGTGTGTCGAATCTGTCCTGAGTGGGACTTCACATCTGCACTTAGATCCGCTCCCTGGGTCCTAGGGACAGCCCCTCCCTCCGCACAGACCTCACACTCTTTCTCCACCCTGCCTCTGCCCAACCTCCCTCTGCCTGCATGTCCTTTCTCCTGTCCCTCCCACCTTCAGGACCCAGCTCAGGGAGCGCCTCCTGGGGGATGGCTGACCCCCTCGTCTGCTTCAGGAGCCTGGGCTGGACCTTCCTCTGTGCCCAGTCACACGCAGAGCCATGGTGACCGGAAGCATCGAGGAGTGGCTGGGTGTGTGGCCTGTGTGTCCTTGTGCACTCTCCCCTCCTCTCTCTTTGCCTCCCCAGGTGACCCGCCAGTTCCCCAAGCCCATGCCCATAGTGCTCAAGGTTCATCTTGGTGCCACACCCGTGGTCACATTCCATACCAACAATGCCACCCTGCGGCTGCAGCCTTTTGTGGAAGTCCTGGCTGCGTCCTCTAACTCAGCTTTCCAGTCCCTCTTCTCCCTGGAAGTGGTGAGCGAGGGGCCTTGGTGGGACTGGCTTGGAGGGGGTTGGCCCTCAGAGGTGAACTCATCCTCTTCCTCACACTTTGGTCTATCCAAACTGGCCTCCTTTGTCTTAACCTGGGCAGGACATTCCTGCCTCAGGACCTTTGCCCATGCTGACCCCTTTACCTAGGGCTCTTTTCCCTGGTTCTTGGCATGGCTGCCTCCTTCTCATCTTTCAGTTCTCAGCTTTCTCGGGGAAGCCTTTATGGACACCCACTCCTGACATGGGGTGAGAATGTCCTCATCAGTCCTCTCCAGGACACTGCCTTCATGGCTCCCCCACTCTCTGAAAGGGTCCTGCTGGCTACCATGGTTATTGCTTGTCTCCCTTGGTGGCTGGTGGTGGGTTTGGAGGGCAGGGACCTTATCTGCCGTCTTCACACTGCGCTGAGACTGGCACCTAGCAGGGTTCCCTAGCAGGTGTTCCCCAAACTCCCGTGCTTGCCTGAGGGGAAGTGGGTGTTCTCTGACCCTGTACTCGTGTGTGCCCAGGAGGTGAACCTGAGCCTGCAGCTCTCAGTGTCCAAGGTGAAGCTCCGGGGCACCACGTCTGTGCTGGGGTAAGCCAGGCTCTGCTAGCCTCAGTGCACCCTCTGCACAAAGACCGCTTCCTGCCCCAGGTCACGTGGCACAGCTGGCATTTGCTGTACGGCAGCGTGAAGCCCCCACTGCTTCTCTTCTAGGGACATCCGGCTTGCGGTGGCTGCCTCCAATGTGGGCTTCATTGACGTGAGTGGGGCTGGGTCTCCAGGGCCCCTGCTGGCTGGGTGTGTGTGGGCATGGCGCAGGGGCCCGCATGTGCCCCACAGTCAGGCTTCCAGTACTGGGCACCATCCTCCAGCCTTTCTTTCCTGCTTCCTGCCTGTGTGCTGCCTGGGAGTTGATGACTTGGCAGCCCAACCCCTCAGCAGAGTCCACTGGTCCGTGTGACAAGTCAGACAGTGTGGGCTGAACCTCCACTCACATCGTGGGGTCAGGGTCCCGGCTAGCTTGTGTCTGTCTGTCAGTCGGCCTGTCGGGCAATTATGCCACAGCCCTCTACCCATCAGTCTGTTGGTCATCTGGTGTCAAGGGCTCTGCTCGCCAGTCCACATGTTGGTCACACAGTGTATATCAGCCAATCAGGTTTGTCCATCTGCATTTGGTCACGTGGTGTGTCAGCCAATGAGGGCTCCTCCTGGGCAAAACGTCCTCGGAGGCTGACTCAAGTTGGGGTATAGATGGGTTCCACTCAAACCCAAGATGGGGATGAACTGCCCACCCCTGCTCTGCCTGGGCCTCTGTTGCCCATATGTTCATCTGTCTGTCTATGTGTGTGCCTAACCGTTCATTTCTCTCACCCACTGGCTGTCCTCCACCTGTGGCCAAAGGTGGAGCAGGTACACGCACTCGTGGGCACCCTGTTCAAGAAGCCACTGCTGGCCCACCTCAATGGTGAGCGTTTTTCCCCCAACCAGGCCCTCTGGCCCCTGCTGACCCCTACCCTCTCCACACTATCCCTGCCCCTGCCCACCTCCCAGGCTCTGAGGTTAAGAGGTGGCCTAAGGGACCAGCTGGCCATGTAGGAATTTGGCACACAGCTCTGTAATCGTCAGTAAGTTTCTTTCCCTCTCTAAGCCTCCATGTTTCCTTCTATATAATGGGCACTGTGACAATGGCAGCTACCTTCTGGATGCCATGATACCCAGAGAACTCAGCATAGGGCTGGTTCCAGGGAATGATTTGGTCCCACTTCCCACTGAACTTGATTCCTCTGTCACCACCTGCAGCTCTCCTGGGCATGGGAATCGCCCTCCCCAGTGTGGTCAACCTCAACTACATCAACCCTGAGGTCTTTGTATATGAGGTGAGAGCCTTGGGAGGGACCAGCTGGGCAACCTCTTAGATTGGAAGGGCAGGGGTCGTTTGTAGCACACACAGTGGAGTGTTGGGGTCAGCCAGGTCTGGGTGTACACTCTGCTTCTGTAAGCCAACACCGTGCATCTTAACTGTAACGAGATGGAAAATTCGGGATGTTTGAAGACCCAGCAGGGCAAGGTTTCCCCTCCTCTAGTTCCTGTACAATATGGTACCAGGGGCTTGCTGAGTCCCTGGCACCTGTCATAGGCCTTGGTGTGTAGTTAAGGCTCTGTGAAGATTCATCAAATGAATCAACGATTGACAACCTTCCAGAATGTTTCTGCAGGACAGTGTAGAAAGTAGAGGAGGCATGGCAACCAGGCTGTGCAGGGGACTTGGACTTGGGGAAGATGCCCATAGTTCAGGACTCCCATCCACACACAGCGCACACATTTGGTACCAGCCCTTTCTGAGTGCACCTTCCAAAGGGGCTCCTCCTGTCTTCAGAGGCCTCTGACCTGGTTTATTATTCTTTTCACCCTTCAGGGATATGTCGTGGTATCCAGTGGACTTTTCTACCAGCGCTGAGGCAGGGCCCCCGGGAGGGCTGAGAGGGAGCCAGCCTTGCTGCTCAGGAACCTTCTTCCCTCAAGCCACTGGGGCAACTGAGGCACAGGCATCATGGCCAGCAGACCAGTCCTCCTGGTGGGGCTGTCTAATCTTCACCAAGTACCTGGATTCCTCTCCTTCACTCCTTCCTTGTCTCTTCTCCCCACGGCATCCTCCACCCCTTCTGGGGAGAAAGCTTGCTCCTCCAGGTTGCCCAGATCTCTCTCCTCATGCATTAAACCTCTCTTGAGCTGCAAGTTCCAGCCAAACCCAGCAAACTCTTTGTGTATTTGGGGCCAGTTCTCTGTGTGCATCCCTGGTGCCCTGTTTGTCCCCAGAAGAGGGGGAAGATGAGTGCACATCTTCATTATCCATACCCATTGCCTCTACCACCTTTGTGCCAGGGAGCTCATCTTTGAAAGATCACCCTGAAGAGCAACAAGGATGAGCTGATGGTTATGGGCACCATACTATTCTCTAGGTACTGCACCCTCTGCCTGGTGGGGTTTCCCATCTTGTGAGGCCCTTGTGAGTCAGGCAGGAAGGTCTGGAGTTCCTTTCTGTAGATGGAGAAACTAAGGCCCAGCGAGGAGAGGAATGTGCCTAGTTCCAGGACTGGAAGGCAGCCAGTCCCCAAAACTGTGACCTTCCCAGAACCCAGAAATAAGATGTCCAGTTCTTCTTCCATTCACCAGCAGCCCCACTTGGACTTGGTCCCCAAGTCACACACTTCCGGTGATGAGGAAGTGTGATGGCCCATTCTGGTGATGGCCCATCCAGGCAGCATCTCCATCTCTGGTTTTCTCCGGTAATGAGCGTGTTTGTTTCTTCTGCTGCCTGGGCCTCTGCTCTCTGGCCTCACTGCACATGTCGAACCCTCAAACCTAGGGGGTCCCTCGCAACAGAGTGGCTTAGGGAATGGCAAGGGATGGAAGTACAAGCAAGCCAGGAGTTGTGGTTTTCTCCCCTGATAAGCTAATCTCTCAGCCAAGGGTAGGCCTCCTTCCTGCCTAAATATCTGGGTCCACTTTCTTTATGTGTTTCCTTGTGGGAGTAGAAGGTGACCCAGTTGCCACCATCAGTAAACAAACTAGTTGGTCCAGCATGGAACTAGCTGCTTTCTCTACAGGTGTCACAGGTCCGTTCCTAAAGTCTCCAGTGTGACAGGCTGAGGGAACTGGACTCCGCCCAGAATGTTGATGATGAGAGGAGGTAGGAGTGTTGCTGAGAAAGTGAGGGGGCTAAATATTAAGTACAGCTTCATAGCCAGGCGTGGTAGCTCAGCCCTCTAGGAGGCTGAGGTAGGAAGATTGAAAGTTCAAGCCCAACCTGGGCAACATAGTGACATAATGAGAAACTGTCTTGAAAAATAAAAATAAAAATAAACAGAAAGAACTGGGGATGTAGCTCAGTGTAAAGGCCCTGAGTTAAATCCCCATTACTGCAAAAAATTTTACTCCCATGATCATGCTCATGAAAGTGTGATTTTTATTTCCTTCCTTTGGCTGCATAATTAATTCTTTAATATTACCTTTATTGAGGTTTAATATAGGCTCAGTCCTAAACTATGCAGTCTGGTGTACAGGAGAGACAAAATATCTAAGACACATCCCTAGTCCATAAAGAAGAGTAAATAACAGGAAAATGGTACGAGCTCAATATGCAGAATCCATCCAACCATCCAGCAGTCCAGCAATCTTTTCATCTTCCAACTGACTGATCCAATTATTCATGCAACCATCTGCCCACTCATTCATTATCCGTCTATCCATCCATCCATCCATCCATCCACCCTTCCTTTCTTCAAACCACATAACCATCTATGACATATTCTTCCATCTGTTTGTCCAGCCACATCCACACCCACCCATCCTGTCATCTATCTGTCCTTCCATCCAACCACTCATTGACTATCAATTCAGTATTCCATTGGGTGCTGTCGTCCATCCATCTATCCACCTATCTTCATTCATTAATCCCATCTGTCCATCCCATCCATCCATTCATCTAGTCTAGCCATCAATTTATCGTATTCTTCTATCCAACCACTCATCCGACCCGTCCATCTATCCATCCATTCATCACACCCACATGCCCATCCATCCATTCTTACTACCTCATCCATCCCATTTATTCAGCCATTCATACTGCTATTCATCTCATCCACCTGCCCATCTATTTATTTATCTCACCTATCCATTCATTAACTGATCTTACCCATTCTTCAATCCATCCATCCATCCATTTATCGTACCCAACCACTCATCCATTCATTATTCCATCCATTCATCCCATTCATCCACCCATCACAACTATCCACCAACTATCCATGCAAATTATCCATCCGTCCATCCATCCGTCCGTCCATCTGTCTGTCCATCCGTCCTCCCATCCATCCATCTATCCATCCATCCGTCCATCCGTCCATCCGTCCTCCCATCCAGCCATCCATCCATTTGTCTACGATCCATTCTATCTATGCATCCATTACATCCATCATCTATCCACTCATCTCATATGTTCTGTCCATCCATCCACCTAATGTTTCTATCTCCCCTCCCACCCATCCATCCTTCTCACCCACCTGTCTATCCATCCATCATTCATTCATCCAGCCATACATCCTTCCACCTGTCCATCCATCTTTTCTGTCCATCTATTCATCAGTCATCACATCCATTTATCCATCTACTCATCCATTCATCGATCCCATCCATCAATCCATCCGTCCCACCCCTCCATCCACCCATCCATTCATCTCATTCATTCATCTATCCATCCACCCATTCCAATCATCATTTATCTGTCTGTATATCTGTTCATTCTATCATCTCATCTTATCCATCCATCCATTTCCCAGCCACCCACTCATCCTTTTATTCCACCCATCGATCCATTCACCAGCCTTAACAATTTACTTTTCCATCTATCCATCCATCCTTCCTTCTGTACCTCTATCCATGCATATACCCTTCCTCCCTTCCTTCAAGCAATCCTCCATTCATCTATCACGCATTCATCCATCCATCTTCTCATCCATCCATCTCCCCACAATTATGTATTCCATCCATTTGTCCATCTGTCCAGCTATACCTTCAACTCATCATCATCCGTCCATCCTCTCCATCCACTTATTAATTCAACTTTTTATCTAATGCTGTTATCCATCCATCCACCATCCACCCACCCATCCACTCATCCATACACACACCCATTTACCAGATGTGATAAAAATATACTATGAATATTCAAATTAAAAATTATTACATTAAAAGATGTATTGCCACTAATTCCCCTCAAAATGCTCCCCTTCACTCTGAATACAAGCAGCCCATTGTGCTTGTCACTTTCTGAAGATCTTCTGGAAGTCCTCTTTTGTGAGTGTCTTTATAAAGATTGAAGAATATGAACTAATGCTGCTGCCAACTGCCATCCAGCCTTTCACACAAACTCAGGAAAACATTGTAGTGCAGTGGCGCCAAACCTATAGCATACATGTTGCAGCAGGGACACAGAGCCTCTCTGTCAGCATGGGAGCCAAATTACTCCACTGAGCCAAGTCACCTAGGCAGTGCCCCAGTGGCTGAGCATTCAGGTTTAATTGCAGCATTGGCAGTTAATGGTTTGGGTTTGCAGTATGGGCACTTGGTCTCTAAAAGGTTTGCCATCACTCTTTGTCCTCATCCACTTTATTCACTGGATCTGATGCCATGTTACTTCTGGCTCTTCCCCAAATTCAAAATGACCATAAAAAGTAAACATTTTAAATTGACTCGTGACATCAAGGCAGCCATAACGGCCCAGCTGAAGACATTCATGAAGAAAGACGTCCAGAATTACTTCATAAAGTAGCAAGAATGAAGAGATAAGTGTGTTCAAGGCAAGGGGAAGTAGTTTGAAGGAGATTAATGGCAATGTGCCTTTCACTGTAATAATTTTTTAAAAATTTATGCATTCATGGTAGTTTTTGGTCACACCTTGTATTCAGTTTTTTTTTTTTCCTTCCAAACTGCCATTATATCCATGATGGGCCTAGTACTATAATATATGTTCTTTGAAGAAGAGAATAAAAATGCTTGAGTCATATTTCCTGCCCAAAGGAAACCTGTGACCTCCCTACACAGAGCCATCCCTAGCCCTAGAAGGCTTTATCCAGCCCTTCAGTGAGGTGACTGCTGGACACTGGCTGCTGAGAGGACAGGCTAGTGTAGCAGTCTGAGCCCAATCTGGAGTGGGAATTCACCCAGGCTGGAACCCTGAAGACTTAGTGACTCTGGTCAGAGCAGAACTGGCAGACAGCAGAAAGTCCTCTGTACAGCATTGCAGGGCGGAGGGCAAGCACCCAAGTAAGGACAGTCCTGCATGTGGCAAACATCCATGGAGAGTGTGGCCCAGCACTCTGGAGAGCAGAGAAGGCTGCTGGGCTGGCCTGGAGTTGTGAGCAGTCAGTATGGGCACCTGACACCCTTAGAGACACCTGCAGACAGCAGAGGGGAGGGTGATGGTGCCTGGGCCGGGGGTGAGGGCTGTGGCTCTGTGGGCCGCAGGTGGCTGTTGTGAAAGTCACATGGGTACTTACAAAGGATCTGGGCACTGGCATGGGTGGGTGGCTTTCAGATGGGGCGGGTAGGATGCGTGTGCGCTTGGGAGGTGTTCCTGGTTTCTGTTTGCAGAGGACAGCAGAAGGGCTCTGCCCAGGCTAAGGCTGTCGGGTGGCAGCAAGTTGGAGTTCTGGGCCCACAGCTGGGAAGAGGTCACTTTATGTTCTCACACCCACAGCACCAATCCACCCAGCTTCAAGAGCCGTGTGAGGGGTGACATCCATGTGTGTCACTCCTCCAGTCCCTTCTCCTGTGAAAGGTTTGCATCACACTCACTTGTCACGGAACGCACACCGACGGGCACATTCCCAGTGGAGAGGCAGCTAATTGCCAAGTGACACCGGAGCATGACAGGGAAGGCCAACATCCTCCCTGGTGCGGCTCGTCAGCAAAGATCTCACTGGTTCACCTGACGAGCCACTCTTAACCTTGAACTTGGCCCTGCGCATTTCCCCCTGAGGTCTTTACCCTTGCTTTCTCCTCTCCAGAGCTTTTGCCCTTGACACCAGCTCTCATGTGTGCTCCTCTGGCCACAGCAGTGAGGTCTGGCAATGCTCTGCCTCTCAGACTCCTAGGCCCTCTGCACACGCGGGTGCCCTTCAACTGCATCCTGTGAGTATTGGTGTCTGGCTTCTTTACCACCTGGTCACTTCTCTGACCCTTCCCAGAGCCCCGCACACAGTAAGTGCCTAACAAGCCGACTGTGGGCCAGCTGCTCGCACACGCCTGTGCTGAAGCCTGATGTGAAAGCCTGATCCTGGGGAAAGAGGGGGGCTGCCAGGCTTGGGGTCACCTTTGTTGGGCTCCCAAAGGGCCCAAGGGGAAGGGGACAAGATGACACTGAGCTTTGGCACTGGCCCATGTCAGTGTTTGAGGGTGGGGAGGGAGAGGAAGGATGGAAGATAGGAGCTGTAAGGAGGGTGCTGTAAGGGACCTGCTGGGCCCCACAGGGGAAGGCAGGTCAGAGGCAGGCAGGAGCCCACCGAGTGACCTTGCAGGTCTGTTACTGCTGTCGTCGCCTGCATCACAGAATTAGAGGATAAAGTGGAGGCCCAGGGAGTGGAAGGGGCAGCCAGAGTCACAAAGCCATGAGGGCAGTGACTGGAATAGGGGCTCAGATCCCTGAGCTTCTCTTATCTTCCCCCACTCGGGTCCCTCCTGTCCCCATCCCTTATCCTTCTCCAGTACCCACAGTGGCCTGAGAGAGAGTGGGGAGGGCAGGTGGCCGAGGTCAGAAGCACATGGGTGTGTTTGCAGCAGTAGGAGGTGGTGAGGCCCATTCTGTCTGTGGGGTGGGTCAGCAGGGATAAAAAGATGAGCTCTGTGGATGGCTCTCCAGCTCTGGCGGATATGAATGCAGATGGCCAAGGCTGCCTGGGGACTGCTCTCTGCTGCGCTTGTCTTCATCAGTGCAGTGTGACCTCAGGCAGGCACCCCCGGAATTCTCACCAAGCACAAAGGCCCTTGAGATGCCCTGGACCTGATTCCCAAGGAGCTCCAGGAAAAGAGAGCTGGGGCTGTGTACCCTGAGACTCAAGTGAGCCCCAGCTCTGCAGCTGGTTTGCTCTGTGACCCTGGAATCATTTCTGCTTTTATGGCCCCTCAGGAGGTGATCTAGAGAGAAAGCCCCCCTATCTGGCACTTTCCATGACCCTGTAGCTCCCCCAGAAGGTCCTCAGCATACCTGGCCTGGCCAGCAACCCCTCCTGACCCTGGAAAGGTCCAGCCACACCTCTCAATGTGGAGACACTTTCCCGTTGTGGGAGCTGGCTCTGCCTGCCTCTCCAGCCCCGGCACCCTCCCCTGCTGCAGCTCCCGTGGTAACACAGCTCTCCTGTTTCTGTCCATCTGCTGGCTGCCTCAGCTCCCCCAGGGACGCAGTTTCGTGGTGGTAACTTACACAGTGTCTACCTACCCCTGTGGGTTCCAGGAGTCCTCTGAAGGCAAGAGCTCCAAGTCCCTTAGGTCCCTCAGGCTGCCCCAGTACCCTGCACAGGCCTGGCACCCCGCATGTGCTCAGTAGATGATTATTACACAAATGAGTGTGTGTGCCTGATGTGAGCCCAGCCTTGGAGGAGCTGCTGGGTCTGGGAGAGAGGACGGTGTGAACACTGATGCCTGCTCAGGCAACCACGTCCCCTCCCCAGAGCCTGCCCCAGTGGAGCCACCAGGCTCTCCAGACACCCTTGTCCTCCATGCTATTTACGTTGGAACAGACTAAGGTGTCACGTGAACACCAGGCTCCTGTTCTTCGGGCCTCTAGATAATTATCTGGCCCTTATTAAACCCTTCATTATCCAAGCCACTCATCAGGCTCCTGAATATAAGGGCTTCCTCATTTCAGGGTTGGAGGCTGGTGTCAGTCAGCTGCAGCACTCCCAGGCTTTGCAAGGTAAGGACAGTCCTCCTTCCTGTGACTCCCCAAAGAGTCTCATCCGGCAGTGTCATTTTACAAACGAGAAAGCTGAGGCCCAGAGAGGGGAAAGGACTTGCCTGACATCACACAGCAAATAGGTGGCGGGGCAAGAGCTTGGATCCATGTCTTGATATCTCTGGTGCTGCCCACCTCACAGGCAGCCTCTGGACATTGTAACCATCAGATGTGCAGGGCTCAGGGAAGGTCAAAGGGGCAGTAGGTCCGATGGAGTAAGGGGAGATTGGGGAGGGAAACCCCAGCTCTGCTTTGTAGGAGCTCAGAGCTGAACTGGGCAACTTGCTGGAGCCCTTAGGAGCACATGGCAGGTGTGGGGGGGGTGGACCGCAAAGACTAGAGGGAGACAGCAGGGGATTCTGGGGAGGCTTCCTGATGGAGGGGCTAGGGCTGAAACAGGCTCTGAGAGGTGAGTAGGTAATAGGTGGGTAGAGGGCAGGCATTCTGAAGGAAGGACAGCTCAAACCAAAGCACACTCAGGAAAAAAACCTCTGGCATTAACCGTTTCTCCCAGAAATACCAAGGCCATATGTTGCCCTAAGTCACTTCTGTTTAAGCCAGCAAAAAATTCAGAACTCCTGCTATTGGTTCTGTCTGGGGTTGGGGAGACTGGGACAGTGCTTAGTCTCCCATTTGTGAGGTGGGCTGGGGCTGGAGGAGACTTCACGAGCCCGTTCCCTTCTGTTTCCCCGGCAGAGACTGCTGCAGCCCCCTGGGATGACTTTCAGAGAGGTTTGTCCTGGCACACAGGGCTCTGGCCACGGGCACATGCATGTGTTCCTAGGAAATGCTAAGGCCATTACTTTCCAGCCCAAACAGAGTTCAGTTGCCACGGACAAAACAGAAGTAGAAGATGTGTTCCTTCAGTGAATAGCCATTGTTAGCTCTTTATACTCAGCTGCTCTTTACCCTGTAGTCTGAGCCTAAATGTCTCCTCCCTGGGGAATCGTTCTTGAGCTCTCTGTACCTGTGCACCTCCTCTGCCTTCCCTCCAGACTTTCTGATCAAGTAGAGGCAGGACGGTGCCGGGAACGGGGCAGTCCGACGTGCCTGGCATGTGGTGGGCACATGATAATGTGAATGAGGGGCTTATCTCGGCTCCTGGGGGCCTGGGGGTCTGAGCCCACTGTCAAGCAGAGACCAACTGGGAAGCTGCCCTCCGGGCTGACACAGGCCAGATCACCATGGGCCTCTCTCTTTGGTTCCTTTCAGCCAAAGTGTGAACCTGAACTACACGTGTGGCCCTGGGCAGGAGCACTTTAGGTCTTGGTAAGTAAGTGGGGGGGATTTTGGGCATCAGTGGTGAAGTAGGGCTTTCTTGGGAACCTTGAATCTTGGGAATCTCATGGGAGATCTTTAAAGAGTTTGTTATTTTTTTTGGCTCTAAAACCTTGCGTGTGCCTCAGTTTTCCTGTTGGTGAGACCCTGTCTCAGGGGACACTCAGGGGCTCTGATGAGACTTGGGACTCTGTGTGCAAGGGCGGCTGGGCTGGAGGGCGGAGTGCTGTTGGTATGTGTTCGCTGCAGTGGGAGCCCTGCTCGAGCTGTACATCAGCTTGGCTGAGCGCTGAACCCAGGGGATGCTGTGAGTGAACCTCCCACCAACGCACAGTGCAAGCTGGCCAGAGAGCATCAGGCCCACGGAGACCAACCAAGGCCTGAGGAGAGAGGCACACTCCGGGGTGACCCCAGAGGCCCTGTGTTGAATGTGGCTGGCTCTTGGTCCTTTGGGAGAAGACCACAGTGATGTTTGATGGCTGGCTGGATGGAGTCGCACATGTTTTGGGGCCTGGGACACCCTGGGGGACAAAGGCCAGGTGGGCCGCAACCAATTCTGCCACTGGACGGCACAGGTGGAGCCATGCTGCGGATCTTGTGCCTGGCGCTGTGTGGCCTGCTGACTGGTGCACGGGCCGACCCTGGGGCACTGCTTCGTCTGGGCATGGACATCATGAACCACGGTGAGTCAGTGCGGGGTGGGTATAGGCTGTGGGAGGGAATGACTGCTCGGGTCCTGCGATCTTCACACCAAACCCACAAGCAGCACATCATTGTAATTCTCCCATTCTAAGGAAGGTGAATTCGAGGCCCATGGCTCCCTCAAGTTAGAGTGAGAGTTGGCAAATCTCCTTTGGAGTCCCTCCTGGGCCCTGATGGCAGGGGTTGGTGGCCACACCTGGGTCATGGGAGTGATTGCTATGAGTGAAACCCCAGTTTAGTCATCAATTTGCTGTATGACTCGGGCAGGTCACTTGCCCTGTCTTTGTTGCTGTTTGTCCATCCATAAATGTAAGTAAATATAAAATAGGATGACTAGGCCAGGGATTTAGCTCAGTAGCACCACACCTGCCTCACAAGTGCAAGGTCCTGAGTTCAATCCCCGGTACAGAAAAAAAAAAAAAAAAAAAAAAAAAGAAAAAGGATGACTAGTCCTTCCCTGGCAGGATCAAATGAAATGTGAAATTAAAATCCTCTGGGAGGGGGTTTAAATTTTTAAAAATGTATTTTCCATCTCTACCCCACCTTGATGACCACAAGAGAAATGGAGTAAAATCTAGGTATAAAAGGCTAATGATTGTTCAGTCAGCTTGGTATTTGTCCCCTCTCTGAATTAGCCTGTGCGCATATTGGAGGGTGTCTGTTAGGGTGTCATTTGGGGTTGGGGCCTTCAGCCCTAGGGAATCAGCACTGCTTGCCTCCGGCCCAGAACTTGCATTTTAGCAGGGAGCACTTGGCTCACAGGGAAGAGTTGATGCCCTCATTTGGGGTTCAAGGCCTCCACAATATGCATCCTGCAAATTGCTTTCTGTGTTTCTCACCACAAGGCATGTCTCACTCTTCCCTCGTCCTCCCCATGTTTCTCCCTCCCCTGTCCTTGTTCTTGCTGTGCCCTCTGTTAAAATTCCTATCCCTCTTCCAAGGACCAACTTCCTGGCAGACTTCGCCAGCTCTTCCTTTCTAACCCTAACCCTTTGAGTAGTTCCTAGAGTTGCCTGTGCTTTTCTCATTTATGGCTTTTGTCACTTGTTGATTTTACTGCTCGAGACTTCCCAGGAGCGGTGGGGAAGGGCAGGGGTGGGCATGGCTCATCTCTAGGTTCCTGCCTTGGCCAAGCTCCAGGTAGGGCACCGTGACTATAAGTGGCTTGGGATGCCCAAGAAATTGGCACTGTGCAGGGAAGAGTGGGGAGCCCAGCTAAGTCTCTCTGACCCTGTACCCATCCCGCAGAGGTCCAGAGGGCCATGGAGGAGAGTCATATCCTGGAAAAGACGGCAGCAGAGGCAGGCAAGAAACGGCCTGGGGTTAAACCCATCAAGGGCCTCAGCAAGTAAGCGGAAGTGGTGGCGGGGTAGGGTGGAGGTGGTGGGAAGGTTGTGCCTGAGGCCTGAGAAGAAAAAAGACAACAGCACAGGACCTGGAGCCTCTCCCCTGCCTACTGTTGCTGCCTTGCTGTGTGACTTGGGCAAGTGCCTACTCCCTGCCCCTTGGGAGATGAGCAGAGTCATTTTGAGAAGGAACTGACGTTGAAAAGTCAGGCTCTAACTCCCTACATGTGCCATGAGATTGCTGAGTATGTGCGGAATTAAATGAGAACAACTCCAGTGGTAGAGCTGGAAAGGCACCAGCTATCATCTAACAACAGGAGGAGACTGGTTCCATGGCGAGTGCCATGTGGGACTCAGCAGGAAGCAGGACTGCGACCAGTTAGCAGTGTCTGCTGAGAGCTCAGGAGAGGCAGGGGGAGGTATACGACCTGCACCTTCCTTATCCTGGATCTCACTTTGTGGTTCTCCACTCGGGTGACTGTGCCACTGAGGGGACCTTTGGTAATGTCTGGAGATAGTTTTGGTTGCCACTCTTGCAGAGAGTGCTCCTGGCATCCCAGGGGCTGAGGTCAGAGATGCTGCAAAACATTCTTCTACGCACAGGCTAGGACAGCCTGCCACAGCAAAGAACTGATTTGCCCTACATGCCTCTGGTGCTTCTGCTGAGGAGCCCTGATCTAAGCAAATCCCATTTTGTTTAAGGGGAAAGTGAGGTCTATGGGAGGGAAAGGAACAGAGCAAGGTCACACGCCTTGCCTCACATGTAATGAGTGCTTTCTGTTATACAAGTCGGTTCATGTCCAGCCTTTTGTTACATCTCCTGGTGTCCCCACAAGAGACAGGCTGATCCCTGTGACATGGCATGGAAGGGTTATCCAAGGCCTCCCAGCAAGGGTGGAGGAGGGATCGAGGGTCCGGACGCTGCCTGCTCAGTTTTCTTCACTGGATGCCTGTGCCCTCCCAGTATGAAGGTCAAAGATGTTGTCACACCTGTCATCACACTGAACTTTGTACCTGGAGTGGGCATCTTCCAGTGCGTGGCTACGGGCATGACCATCACTGGCAAGAGGTGAGTACGGCAGAAGAGGGGACAGGGTAGGGAGGACGTCCCATCCTTATGCGCATAGTTGTTGTGTACCTGCTGTGTACATCTGGGTGCTGTGATCTGAGGTGATGCGTACTTGGCACCTGTTTTGTTGGGAACCAGACTAAGCACAACCACAGACTGAACAGTTGGCCTAGAAGAGGGGAAGCACCGAGCAGGAGAGAAAGAGAGCATCAGAAAAGGCTGTGGGGAGGGATGACAGCTGAGCAGTTTGAAGCATGCGCAGGAGTTCACCCAATCAATGGGAGATTGAAAGGCTGGGTGTGTGACCTTGGGCAGGTCCCTTCCCCTTTTTTGTCTGAGGGTGGTTCCCTCTCCTCTCCTCCTCCACTCTCAGGGCTGCTGAGACTGTGGGCAAAGACGAGGGTGGGGAGAGGGACAGAGATGCCCACGATGCCCTCCTGCCTCGACCTGTAGCTTTACGGGAGCGAACATGGAGATCATTGTTGTCCTGAACATCACAGCCACCAACCGGTTTCTGCAGGATGAGGAGACAGGACTCCCCATGTTCAAGAGTGAGGACTGTGAGATCATCCTGGTCAGCGTGAAAACCAACCTGCCAAGCAAGTGAGGGCCCTGTGGCTGGGAGGCGGGCTGGTCCATGCTGCCACCCCAACCCCAAGACCTGAGACTTCCTTAACCACTGCCCTTCATGTCCTCTGCCCAATGCCCTACCCTCGGTGCGCTGTCTGCCCACCCCGATTCCTGTGCCTAGCATGCTGCCCAAGGTGATCAACAAGTTCCTGGACAGCACCCTGCACAAAGTCCTCCCTGGCCTGGTGAGTGGTCCGGTGTGGCCTCAGCCCTGCTGGCTGAAAGTGCTACCCCAGGGTAACAAGCACAGTTTGTTTTGGCTGATGGCTTTGATTGGTGCATAGTGGCTGAGAAGCTCTGTGCCCGGAAGTGCTGTGATCACCTGTGATGTCTGCCTGGAGCGTGGGTTGGGGGAGACAGCAGTCTTCATGTTCCAACTTGCCAGCCCTGCTTAGATAACCAACTCCTAGGCAGTGAGACCTCACTGATTTTGGCAGGCTTTCGTCAGGAGGTCTGGGTCCTAGTTCAGACTCTGTCATTGACTTTCTGTGTTACCTGGGCCTGAGTTTCCCCACCAGGGCCTATCCCATCAGGCTCTTGAGATTCCCCACAATGCACCACTGAGCTGTGAGGAGTGAGGCCTCTCAGCCTGGTGACTACTTGGCTTCCAGATGTGTCCAGCCATTGACGCGGTCCTGGTGTATGTGAACAAGAGGTGGGCCAGCCTGAATGGTGAGTACAGTCCTGGCCACCCCTTCCCCCTGTGTAGGGACAGCAGGAAAGCCGTACTTCCATATCCAACTGCCCACTCAAATGGCAGTTCCCTGCCTAGTCATGGGGCTGGAAGAGGGCTGAAGCCATGGTGTCCATCCCCCCACTGCCCAGATGGAAAGTCTGAGGCCTCAAGGGATTCTGGGTCCTCGCTTCTCATCTCTGCACCCAGTGTTCCCTCCAGCACTCCCAGAATCCCAAGCATGGCAGCCACCCACCCTTCAGAGCCACACTGATGGTGATGATCATTACTTGACTTACCTTTGCCAGGTGGACCTGCTGCCTCCATCATTTGGGGTCCATGGGGTTCCCCAGTGTAGGAAAAAGTACACCTCAGTTTCTGGGAAAAACTGGTTCATCACCTTGGCAGTGTGGCCTGGAAAGTCACTTCTCTCCTCTGAGTCTTGGTTTGCCCATCTGTAAACAGCCAATGCTCTAGCACTGCCACTGTTTTAGTCCATTCTGTGAGACCCCTGGAGAGTGGGTGGTTCTGTCCCTGCCGAGCTATGTGATTTCCAGGCCAGGCCCATCGCCTCCATTCTGTAGCCGAAGCCTTGAGTCACAGAAGCACAGGATCAAATGGTCTATGTCAGCCTCTCTGGACTGCCCAGGGGTTGGCACCTCTCTGAGCAGAATCTGCTCTTCACAGACCCCATGCCCTTGGGCCGGATGGGCACTGTCAAATATGCCCTGGCATCCACACCGACCACAACAACCAGCCACATCCAGGTGGACTTTAGTGTAAGTTCCAGGGCCCAGGACGCTGGCGCTTGGGCTCATTCCTGGGCGGTGCTGCCTCCTTGGGGCAGATGGCTGGATGGGGTGTTGGGGTAAGAGGCCAGGCCTTCCACGACAATGTCCCCTGACATCTCTTAATTTTTGCTTGAAGCATGAATCTCGAGTCCACCAGATTATGTCTGTGGTGCCAACTTTACCCTCGCACTTCTCCCATGGTTACTGCTTATCCCATTGAGGGGACCTTGCCTGCTTGTACCCTGTCATTGTACAGCCATGAGGGATCCCAGGGAGTCGGGGGAAGCAGGGCTTGGCCGGAGGTCCGCAGTGAGTTGTGGGCAGAGTTGGGACCACTTCCAGGTCTCCAGAGCCCCAGGAACGGGATATGTAGCTTCCAGGATTGAAGAGAAAACTCCTAAGAAGTCATCTTCTTGCGATGTCTCCTTCCAGCAGGATTAGAACAGTGGTCCTATTTTGGCCTCCCATCTCTCTGGCTCCTGAAAACAAAGTAGAAACCATGTCTGGATAAATGAGGGCTTCAAACTGTCAAAGTCAGAGCATCAGTGGTCTATTAACTGATGCCCTTCTCCCTTCCGGCCTCAGTTTACCCACGTGTACCCTGGAGGGCCACTGTGGCCTGCTGTGGCTCTAACATTTAGTGATCTGCGGATTGGGGCCTGGTTTGACCCCCATTCGTCTAGAGGCCTCACACTCACCCGGCTGCCATCCCTGTCTGCCTTCTGGCTGCCCACAGCCCCTGGTGCAGCAGCAAACAGGCAAAATGATCCCGCTGACCAGCTCCGGGGAGAGCCTCGAGTTTCCCGAGGGCTGTGCTGAGGGCTCATCGCAGCTGCTCTTGTCAGCTGCCTTCCTCACGGCAGAGCTGGCCCTGCTGCAGAAGTCTTTGGATGTGAAGATCCAGGATAAGATGGTGAGCTGTCCAGGGCCTGCCCCGTCTGCCTCTGCCTTGTGTGACGGTCCCTGCCTAGTTCACCCATCTGACAATGGTCCTGGGGTTGTGGGCCGCACTGGGACCAGAAGATGTCTGGGCTTGGCTGTGGGTTTTTGTCATCCATGTGACCCTGTGTAACTGTCCATACATCTTACTACTTATTCATTGGCCCACATCTCTTATACCTCGGTCAGCTCCCAGCTTCCATGCAATCATCGCCCACCCATGCATCCATCTAATTACTGTGAATCCTGGCCTAGCTTCTGTCCTTCCAACCAGCAACCACTGCCCCTTACTGCCATCCACATATCGCCTAAAATAGGGCCTTGTACTGTTGGATAAGTGGATCTATGCACCTGCCACTTACCACCCCACCCCTGCACATCCACTCAGCTTTGCACAGCCCATCCTCCTGCGCACCCACCCATCCCAGCCCTTGTCCCCTCAGCCTCCATCTCTGCAGCCCTGCATCTTCCACTGTCAGCTCCTCCTCCCTTCATCCACCTACCCACCGTCCGTGTGCCTCCCATCCAGCCTCTTGCCCATTGATCCATTCACCTAGTTTCCCATCCTTTCTCCCGCTGCACTATCTTCCCATCTTCCTGTTCATCATTCCTTTCATTCACCCACCCATCCACCCATTTATCCACCCATCACCCCTCACCTACCTTTCCTTCCACCAACCCAGCCATCCTCTCACCTGTTCACTTACTCACTGTTTATTCATTCCCTGTTCAGCCATCTAGCCGTCCCCGAACCCATCCACTCACCCCTCTCATCCTTTGTTTCCTTCCCCAACCTCGAATTTGATATTGCAGATTGGTGAGCTGCCCCCACAAACCACCGAGACCCTGGCTGGCTTCCTCCCTGAGGTGACTGGTAACCTATGACCACTGCACTTTTCCCTGCTGTCCAGACAAAGGGGAGGGAGGGCTCAGGAAGCAGCTTTTCAACGCCACATGTCCCTTGTCCCACGTGGAAACACCTTGACTTCTCCATAAAGTACTCTTAGGGTCTGGCACGGAAACAGCTCAGCCTTTATACACTGTACTTCCTACGTCTGAGATAGAAATGGCCCAATTGTATGTTTTGCTCCTTGTATCTCCCGAGAGACATATCCCTTCGTTGTATGTCATACTTCCTGTGTACAAGTAGAAATTACCTCGTTCATGAAGGGCTCCTGGTTCTGAATGAAGCCCCCGTCCAATGCCGGGTGAAACATCCTGGTTTCTGTAGGTGGCTGAGGTCTATCCCAAGCCGAAGCCCTTGGTGACCCAGATCAGGATAAAAAAGTCCCCCAAGGTCACCATAACATCAGGAAAGAGCCTGCTGCACCTCCACGGCACCCTGGAGATGTTTGCTGCTCAGCGGGGCAAGCGCCCTGTGTCCCTCTTCCTCCTGGAGGTGGTGAGTAGGGTCTGTCCCCACTCATTCCCAGCCTTGAGGATAACCAGGCTGGGGTGGGGCTTTGGTGACAGCCAAGAAGTGGGTTGGGGCACTCTCTGTTCATCTCAGCTGTGTGGCTGGACCTCCTGGGCACCGTCACCTATCTGATCCTTGGCTCTGCCCTTGCACCTGTGAGTGGCTGGACGGATCGGCGCACGATGGCCCAGTGCTTTAGCCCTTCCCTGCTTACTCCTCCTCCCTTCCTCCCTACACCACGTCTAAGCCTCTCAAGGTCAGGATGGGTTCACTGAGGGGAATATGAGAGACTAGAGAGAGCACAAATCCAGTCTGGGAATCACAGAGAATTTCCCAGAGGAGGTGATAGCTGAGCTGCCTCGAAGTTTGAGAAGGGGCCGGCCAGAGGAGCTGCAGATGTCAAGGAGGTGGGGCGTGGAGAACACCTCAAGCAGAGGTCACAGCATGGACCAAGGACCACCACGTGTGCAGAGAGCCTGCATGGTGCTGTTGTGGTCCAGGAGAAGGAGAGTCAGAAGCTTAGTATGGGGACTGTTGGGTTCAGTATCTGGGGACAGGATAGAGGGAGAGTTCCTGTTTTGCCTTGGCAATGGTGGTCCTGATGGGGATCTCTGCTTTCTCTGCGGCCTCCTCCCACCAGCACTTCAATCTGAGGATCTGGTACTCAGTGCATGAGAACCGGCTACAGATGGCCACCTCTCTGAACAGGTAGGAGCCGCTGCCCCAGGCTGGCATCCCTGGAGCCTTGCGTGGACGCCACCAGCGTCATTTAGCTTCCTGCTCTAGGCTCCCTGATTCTGGAGAGCCAGGAGGTTTGAGCAGCAGGAAGAGCATGGGTGGGAAAGACAGATGCTCAGTGTCCCATCATAGGGGACAGCAAGCCGAGACTCACATACACTTGAAAGCCCAAAGGGGACCCCTACATGCGGGGAGGGGAATGCTTGGGACCCCCCTTTTTAGGGTCAGGGCTGAAGGCTCTGACCAGCATTTCTCCCCATCCCCTGCCTGACCCCTCTCCCCTGCAGATTACTGAACCTATCCCAGAGGTCCTCAGCGGTTGGCGACGTCAATGTAAGTGTCCCAGGGATTTTTGCCTTGCCTGGTTTGAGGTGAGGACTGTGTCAGTTCCTCTGGGATTTCAGGGAAGAGGCCTTGGCATGGAGGTAGGGAGAACAGAGCAAATTCTTTTGGGGGTTTGGGGGCTCCTGACTTGCTTAGTGACCTTGGGAAAGTCCCTTAAGCTCTCTCTCTGAGTCCGTTTCCTTTTCTAGATGCAATTGACACATCTCCCTGGATTGATTTTTGAAACACTGCCATGCACAGTGACAGCCTTGTTGGCCCAGATGTTATTTTCATTAGTCTCTCTAGCCTCCCCAGCAGGCGTTGTGTCCTATGTTTTGCTGCACTTGCTGAACCCCACGGAAACCTTGTGGCTTGGTGCTACTGTATCTTACTGTCACAGGCGGGGAAAGTGAGGCACAGACAGGCGGTGGACAAATAACTGATCAAAGCCGCTGGGTTTTCCCTTGGAGTAGGAATTAGGCCTGCAGAGCCACCTCCTGTCACCTGAAGTCCCCCACTCCTGCATTATGACATGAAGCCCCACATATCACCTGTGCAGCAACTAAGCACAGTCATACAGAGCCCCAGTTTGGATGCTAGCCAGACACACTGTCTGACATTTCCAAAATCCATTGTTGTGGTCCCCAGGTCGAGCCAGAGGGAGGCAGAATAGATTCAGTGTTGCATTGTATTGTATGATGACATGTGGGTGTTCCTTTCTCTCTCTCCCCCAGGAAAAGGAGTTAATCAACTTCATCACTGATTATCTCCAAGAAGCCTACATTCCAGTAGTCAATGGTGAAGCTTCATGTTACTGGTGCAAGAAGCATTTTAAGCACCCACTTCTTGGTCTCAGAGCCCCATCACTGACTGTAGATGGGAGAAGCTCAAAGGGAGTGGATGGGGTCATTACCAAATTCTGAGGCAGTGTAGTCTTACTGTCACATGCCTGGGGACAAAGGCCCATCCCACATGTTGGATTCTGGCCCTTGACCTTATATCACAAATGGGATTTTGACCTGGGAGCAGGTACATGGCAGATGGTGCATCTTTGTCTATGCAGTTGACAGGCATCATGAATTAATCACTGTACTATATCCTCCTACTCTGCTCCAGGCAGTTTTTTAGTCAACTGCACAACAGTCAGGGTAAGATGACACTTTCTGTATTTCTCAGATGTACTCCAAGTGGGGCTCCCACTCCCAAATCTTCTGGATATCAACTATGACCTAGCTGAGCTGGACATAGTGGAGGTAAGGGGAGGAGCTGGGAGAGCCATGTCAATCACACTTTCCACCAATGGGTGATGAGCAAGAACCCACCTCTCCCCAGGTAAAGAGAATCAGTATAATCTTGCCAACACCAGGAGCAAGACCCCGCCCCTCAAAATCTGGGGGCTCTTGTTGGCCAGGGGTTCCCCAGAGGGATACCTGGTCTCTGTTACTCTATCTGCCCCCTTGAGCAACTGTTTTGCCGCTCTCTATGCCTCCCTTTGCCTGGGCTTACAGGAGGGATGAAAATATGGGCATTGGTCTCACAGAGCTGTGGTTATGATTCACCAAGATAATTCACCTAGGGCAGCTAGTGAGTGTTCCATAAATACAGGCTTTTCATGGCACATTAGGCTGTGATACGAAGTATTAAATGTACTTTTCCTGCTTCCACATCTCCAATCCAGGAAATGGGACTGCTCATCCTCATTTAACAGTTGGGAAAATCAAGCCTCAGGGAAGCCTCAGGGTCACAAGGGAGCCTACGTAAATCTTGGTGTAAACACTTTTCTGGTTTCCATCTCCTGGTCATGGATCCAGCTCAGTCCTATTCCCGTGCCTGGGTGGCCTTGTTGGTCCCCATTCTACTTCACCTGGCCCTTTTCCTCCTTCCAGAATGCCCTGGTGCTGGACCTGACGCAGGCCTGACGCACAGGACTCCCTTGCAGCTGTCGGCACACCACCATCCCTGCACCCTATAGTGGGGCTGCCTTATGAGAGCCCGATGGGCTTGGGCCGATCATAGCTGCCTTTGAGGAGAGAGTGAGAGTGGGTTGGGGCCTGGCAATAAACTGGAGAAAGGCCCTTACAAACATCTATGCTTGAGTCTCTTTTGTTGCGGGCCAACGTGTGGCTTTTCTTCCCCTTTGGCGGGTTTGGGGTCTGAGCCCAGCCTGGGGTGTGGAGGACAGCTGACAACAGCTTTGGGGTGGCTGGAGCATGTCCTAGGGCCTGGGCTGCCATGCTCAGAGCTGCCCTGTACTGTCTCAGCTCATCTATACAGACCCGGCCACTCCCACTACAGATGAGGACACTGAAGCACAGGGGTCAGTGGTCTTGTCCAAGGTCACATGGTTTGGCAAGTGGCAAAGTTTTCCCTGCCCCAGCTGTCGGCCCCCAAAGCTTGGCAACTTGAAGACAGCTCCATTCCTAGGGATCCTGTGTCCTCACGGAGCTCTCTCCGCGTCACCTTCCTCTACTCTCACAGCAGCTGAGGGGTTGAGGACTGTCCTCTTTCACAAACGAGGGGACTAAGGCTTAGAGAGGTGGCTTGAGGCCACCTGGAAAACTGAGGGCAGAGTTGGGATTGGAACCCAGCCAGCCTTCTGGGTTCCGATCTCAGCTCTGCTACCTTGCTGCTGCCGAGGGCCCCAGGTAAGTCACTTTACTGACAGTCAGTCAGTCCCTTCCTCACTTTACGAAGGGATGTTGTCAGTACTGACTTCAGCGGGTCAGGTGAAGTTGAAATGAATGGAATCACACAAAATGCTCAGCGTGCTGCCTGGCTCACTGTAGGCTCCTACCCTAGGCCGAGAGAGATAGGAGCAGGGGTCTCTGTCACAGTGTGGCTGTGAGTCACCACATACATGTTTGCGGTGAGCATGTGCCAGGGGAGAGTCTGCCACACCGGGAGCCACGAGGTCGTTTCTGTGTTCCACACTCACGTGAGGGTCAGCAACCTGACATTTGCTACGTCTGTCCCTGTCACCTCCTCTTCTGGGCTTCACTTTGTGGCAGGGGTGTCTTTGGGGATGGAACCCAACACATGCCAGGCAAGCATCTACTACTGAGCTAGGTTCCAGCTCTGATATTCTTAAAATTGATTCATTTTACAGTGAATGCGTATTTAACATAATTCATTAAACATAATTTTAGCTAGATCCTGAAAATTGGTGCTACTTGCTATAACGGAAAGAAAAGGAAAGGAAGGAAGGAGGGAAGAAGAGAAAGAAAGAAAGAAGGAAAGAAAGAAAGAAAGAAGGGAAGGGAAAGGAACAGAAAGATCCAATAGCTTTGAGACCAAAAGTACATCAGGGTCCGTGAGGTCAGCTGCTGCCCCAGCTTGGAACTGTGAGGAGGGAGACAGTGGCTGAGTGTCTGTGTCCACTCTGTGTTCCCCAAGCCTGTGAGGCCCTGGAAGTTGGACTCCCTCCCAGCTTGGCACAGGGCCATGCCACAGACAAAGGAGCCCTGGACGCCAGAATTTTCCCCTTATCTTTCTCTCAACCCTAATTCCATCACCTGTCATTTCTCCAGCTCTGGGACAGTGGCAGCCTTGAGGCAGGTCTGGCAGGTACAGATTCCTGGGTAATCCGTGGGAGGTGACATCTGACTCTGGGCCTCCTAGAGACACACCTTTGCCCCCTCCACACCTTCTGTGTCCCACAGCAGCCTCATGGCCACCTACAGCCATCCTGCCACTTTCCCCGGGGAAATCAAGGCACAAGTCTGTTAAGAGTTGGAAGGCCTTGGGTTCTCACCAGACCCTGGACACAGTGTGGCTTTATACAAGCCACAGCCCCTTTCTGGACCTCAGTTTGCCCATCTCTACAGTGACAAGGGGTTGTGTGCCTTGCCCTCTATCCTGACCCTAACAGGCTTTGGGTGTTCAGTTACTCGCGACTCTCCCTGGGCAGGAAGCGAGGGCAAAGGGAGGCCGTATTTCTGTGTCCCACACCCCTTGTCCCACAGGGTGCCGCTCAGCTTGCAGGACTCCCCAAGCCTAGACAATGAAGAGGAGGCTCTGAGAGACGAAGCAACCTGCCCAGGAGCAGCTGACCCAGGTGCAGCCAGACTTGAGCCCTTCAGCGCAGGCCAGTCCCTTCCCCCCCGTCCCCTCACGTCACACTCAGCACGGGCAGTGTCACTCTTTGAGGACATGGGGTGAAACAGGAGTACAGTCAGGCTGCCATGCTGGGCCCACAGTTGTCAGCCTCTGGGGACCTCCCAGGCGGCCCAAGTGATGTACCCCACACCCGCTTCCTCACAAGCCACACCTGCCCTGCCCTGCTCTTCTAACTCCCCAGCCCAGTCTCCCCTCAGCACCCCCGGGAAGGCCTCCCAGGGGCGTCACCATCACCTGAATCTCCCTGGCACCCTTCCCTTCATATCCCAAAGTCCCCTTCCAGGACACCTGTCCTTACAGTGGGGCCAGATGAGGGTGGGCACCTTTAACGTTGGCCCATTTTGTAGGTGGGGCAACAGCAGCTGCAGGAAGTAAATCACTTGATGCTGGATAGCGAATGACAGGGCTGGGATTTGAACCTGGAATTCTGGCTCCAGAGTTTACTAGGGGCAAACGTGGAGGGCATCTCCCCTCCTCTGCTCTAGCCCCTCCTGGCTTCTTCACCTTCCCACATCCATCACCGTGGCTGCACATACTGTTGCCCTGGAAGCTGGTAATCGTGCTTATGCCGGTTCCCGCACCCTGACTGTGGAGCCTGGGTTCCACAGCTGGGGACCCAGGCACACAGATTTAAATGAGACTCTTCTCATACACAGACCCAATCCTCGACCCAGCTTTGATGTGGGGGGTGCCGGGAGTGGGTGAGGTTGGAGTCCTGGGGCGGGGGGCTGGCAGGACCTGGGGAGACAAGGCAAGCAAAGAGCTTGAGGCTGAGTCAGGCAGCAGCCAGGATGTGGGCACAGAGTCAGACGGCCTGGTGAGACCCCTGCATGGCCCCAGCAGGCCACATCCCTTGCTGAGCCCTGGCTCCTAGAGTAGAAACAGGAAATCTGTTCAGCACCAATGGTACTGGGTTGCATTGCGACCATAAGTGATCACACAGATCCAGTGCCACATACAGTTGGTGCTCAATAAATGCTAAGTGTTAGCTGTCTTTCTCTTCCTTCAAATAACTGTCTTAGAAGCTGGGGTGGACCCAGGGCATGGAGTGGTGGCTGTGACGCACAGACCTGGTGGGAAATGTGTGGTGATCTTGCGTGGCTGTTTGGGAGCCGCCATCATGGTCACTACTATAATTAAGCATCCACACGATACTGTGGTCCTGCAGTTCCACTTTTAGTCATTTACCCAAGAGAAATGGAAGAGAAAGACATATATCTCCCCAAAGACTTGGCAAGAACTTTCACAGCAGCCTCAGTTAGTAGCCACACTCGGGAGGGCTCACGTGGGAGGTCTCTGGACAGGGTGGGCATCCAGGCCTGTGGTTTCCTGGGCAAAGAGCAGGCTGGCACCTCATGGGACCATGCAGATGAATGCCATAGACTCTGTGTGCAGGGAGCCTGCACAGAAGGGCACATGTGTCATTGGGTACCACTGGCCCCCTGGCACACAGGAATTCTTCCATTGTGTCAGGACAGGGGTGAGTCAGAGGGGACATGTGGGGAGGATCCCTTTAAACTTCATGGAGTGGTACCCCTGAGCTCTGCCCTTTTCTGCATGTATCTATATTTCCCTAAAAAGTTTTTTTCCGAAGCATGCTATGGGTCATCAGGGTCAATAGGTGGTAAGTTAGCTTCAGTCACTGAGGTCAGCATCCCTCCTCCCCGTGTCCCCAGGCTGGTGCTCGTGCCCTGCACAGACCCCCAGACATGCTGGGCATGTCGTAGCCCTGGGAGAGAAATGCCCAAGGACCGAGGGCTCCGAGGTGGCTCTTCACCCAGCTCTGGAGGGAGGGTCTTCTGGACAGGCACCTGCCGAGGAACCTGCAAGTGCAAACCAGAGCCTGGGGTCCCCACTGTCACTGTGGGGACCCCACTTCCCCACCGGCTTCACTGTGGTTCCTGCAGCTGCCATCTGAGGCTGCCCCAGCCCCATCCTTTCCAGGCTGCTGAGTGTGGCTCCTGGTCCTGCCCCCAGCCTCTCACTTCTTGGGTCCAGTGGGTATTTGCTCCCTCGGAACTGTGCAGCCCCATCCCCGCTGATGTCCACAGGAGGTGATCGCCTGACGTGTGGCAAGCTCAAGTGCAGAATGCCATAAGCAGATTTGGAAAAATGAGTACATGTCAGGATGAGAAAAAGAAAGCAAAGCAGGTTATTGCTGATTTTATGTGGAATATGTGTTAGGTGGTAATATTTTTGATATATTAGTTAAATAAACTATACTAGTAAGATTAATTTCACTGCCATTTTAAACTTTTTAAAAACTGTGGCTGCTGGGAAACTTCAAACAGCATTGCCACCGCTCAGCTCCTCCAGGCAGGGCTGTCTGTTACTTACTGGGGCGTCCCCAGCGTCGGGCAAACATTAGGCGCTCCAAAAATGCCTGCTGTATAATAAATAACGAAGGGAAGACGGGATCTCCCTTCACTGTCATCTGGGTCAGCCTCAGAAAAGGGGAAAGGCGCCTACTCTGGAGTCCTGGGAACACTGGGCCTTCTCCGCGATTGCCCAGAGTCCCTTTCTCCGGGCCCACGTCCAGCTGCACCGTGGGCCTCAGGGGCAGAGGGTCAGAAGCCCAGCAGCCTCAATCTGCTGCCTTCCCTTCCCAGGCCTCTGAGGAGGTGGGGAAGGCAGTTTAGATTCTACGCCACAGGGCTGGCTTTGTGGAACTGGGGGGACCCCCACAGGGGACAGAACAGGGGTGGCAGGGACGCACCCCACCGAGCTCTGGGGGAGGTGGCAGCGTCAGCCGAGCCCACACTCTGCGTCCCAGCCCTGAGCACCCACCCCAGCCCTCTCACACTCCCCCAGAGGAAGGCTTAGTTCAGCCCTCAGAGGAAACCACAATTTGCTTCTGACACGACGTATTGACGGGTTCCTGGCGGCTGTGCCCCCTTTGTGTCCCCAGAGCTGCTGTGGCATATAAGGGCCTGTCTTGGCCTCAGGTGTGTGGAGGAGCTGACAGGAGGCTGGAGCCCCCTCCCACTGGTGTGGAGCAGCAGCAGCAGCGGGTAAGGCTGTCAGGCAGCCCTGGCAGGGGCCTGACTTCAGCCTTTAGCCTTCTGACCTCCCGCCGAGCCATCTGAATAATGCACACCTGAAGAATTCACCCTAGGAGAGGCCAGAGTGCCTGCAGGGTGGACACCGGTTCTAGGGAGCCCCATTTTTCTCTGGCTTCCCACCTTTGGTGAGAAATTCCAGAAGTGACAGGAATGAGACTTAGGGAAACCAGATGGATGTAGAAAGATTGATGCCGGACACTTTTGCCTTAAGGTGGAGAAAGTGCTGCACCGGTTGGGCAGACCCAGCACCGGGACACAGGGCTGTGAGGTTCCAGCCTTGCTGTCTGGCTTCAGCAGGCAGCTAGGGCAGAAGCCCCACCCACAGTCCCAGGCCCTCAGGGAGCTTCCAGAGATAGCAAGCAAGGACACTCTCACAGGCTGCATTAATGTATGGTGATGAGCGCCTTAAAATAAATATTCAGCCATTGGCTGGCTTCTTTAGACAAGAAAAGAGAGAGGGGAGATTGGAAAGATAAGGATCAGTCACCAGCGATTCAGGTGAAGAGGTTTCTTTTCAGAAGGAACATGTGTAAAGGCCCGAGGTAGGAAAGGGCTTGGCATGCTTAAGGCCAATGAGCGCAAAGAGACACGGAGGGACTTTGTGAGCAATGACAAGGAGCCCAGGTTTTCATCCAAGATAGATGGATAAATGCTGGGTGGGCAGCCGTGGAGGTCTATAAAGAAAAAGTATTCTGAGTCTAGTAATTAGACTAATCCCTATTTGAGATAGAAGTGGGGAAGACCACAGAGGTGGGGCATGTTAAGCCTAAATTTTTGGTGTCCCCAGTCAGTCACTCCTTCTGAAATGGCCTCATGAGCCAGCAGGAACCAGTCCGGAGTCACAGCTCTCATCCTGCCTTGTGGAGGGGCCTGGTGTGGCTTTCACTCCAGACCTTGCCAGGCTTGCCAGGGCCCCACTGAGACTTTTCTCTCAGGCAGGCTCAGGCTGGAATTCTGGGCCCATCACTGATTCTCTCTGGGGCCTTGGTGAAGTCCTCTCCAACTGTTTGGCCTCAGTTTTCCCACCTGTGAAATGGGATCAACGAGGGAACAGCTTGGGAAGGGTCTGGGACTCTCAGCTCGTGTTGGTGGCTGCACTGTGCAGCACAGACCTTGGCCATTCACTGTGTCCTTAGTTGCAAAGGCCTTTTCTGGGAGTGAACCTGAATTTTCGGTTTGCCAGATGGACTGGAGGGAAGCAGGCCCCAAACGACTTGGGTGCGAGGACTGTCTCAGATCCCTGCCCCCACCCCTTCCAGGTGTGCAGCCATGCTGGGCGTGTGGTCCTTGCTTTTGCTCTGGGGCCTGGCTACCCCGTGCGAGGGGCTGCTTGAGACTGTGGGCACACTCGCCCGGATCGACAAGAATGAACTCATCAAAGGTGAGGCCAGGCAGGCATTGTGTCTGCCTCAGGGGAGACCTTTTCCTCCTGGGATTCTGGGAGCAGCGTGGGAGCTCGGGGCTGGCTCGCAGCTCTGAAGTCAGAGGGTGACTAACAGCCTTCCTCTAGCACAGGACTGGGCCATCATCTGGCTGGGGCTGTTTGGGGGCTGCTGGGGTTTGGGGAGGGCACAAGTGGGTGAAGGAAGGGCGGGAGGGTGCTGGCTGGGCCACCCCTCTGACCCAGGGTTCTGGGTGCAGCCCTTTTATCTGGCTTTGGCTGCTCCTAGTGGCCCAGGGTGGGTAACAGTCTCTGAGAAGAAGTGGAGGTGAGTAGGAAGTGCTTCAAACGAGGCCACCCTGGCCTGTCCCAACAGCCACAGGGCAGTCTCTTCCCTGTTGCCTTTCTAACCAGAGTCAGGCCTGGGGTGGCGTGGGGGAAGGAGGTATCCCCTCCACCACGGTTCCCTCTCCTCTAGTCTGTCTTCCCCTTTGGTCCGGCAGCCTGCCGAGGATCCAAAGCCCGAGTTATACTAGTGGTCCCAAGCCTGGTTCACTGTGGGACTTTGGGCAAGTCTCTGCCCCTCTCAGGGCCTTAATTTATCTGTCTGCAAAATGAAGGGATTCCCACAGGATTCTTTCGTTCATACCACACACTCCCTGGGTGCCTCCTGTGTGCCAGGCAGGTCACTGGCCCTGTAGTGGCAGCAGGGGGCGGTTGTGGTTTCTGATATTTGACTGTGACATGTAGGTCAATTCTAATAAGAACAAGTTTCCTGGGCCTGAGCATAGCTCAGAGCGCTTGCCTAATGTGTGCAAGGGCCTGAGCTCCATCCCTAGCACCTGCAAAGATTTCTTGAAGCTCAGAGGAAAGGGGCAAGGGAAACTATTAGAGTTTCCAGGATCTTCCTACTCTCATCCTTTGCAGCCATCCAGAACTCGCTGGTCGGGGGGCCTATTCTGCAGGATGTGCTGGGCACAGTGACATCGCTCAACCAAGGACTCCTGGGTTCCAAAGGGCTGCTTGGAGGAGGTGGCCTGCTGGGCTACGGAGGGATTTTCGGTGTCGTGGAGAAGCTCTCTGGGTGAGTCCTTGCAGGCCAAGGGATGCTGCTACTGCTGCCCCACCAGTCTGGCCCTCCTACCCCTCACCAAAGGTCTCTAGGTGACATGTCACTCTCCTGCACACCATGCATTTTATTAGCTCATTCCTGTCTCCCTGGGTAGATTATAAATCCCAGGATTTTTATCTGAACTGTTCATTGCAGTGTCCTCACATCAAAAATAGGGCTTGACACACAATGGGTGCCCCAAAAGAATTTGTAAATCAATGGATGAAAGAAATGACATAATAACTAATAATTATGTTTAATGATCACCCACCCCAGGTTCCTGTGTGTCTGACCCCAGGCTAAGCATTGCCAGTGAATCGTTCTCCTGAAGCCAGAGGGGGGAACCGTTACCATTGCTCTTAGCTGCTGAGCAGACCAAAGCCAGGAGAAGTGTGTACCCACTTCTCAAAACAGTACACAGGTCTGAGATGTCCCTACTGTACAAATCTGGAAGCTGAGACACAAAGCAGCAGTGTAACTTGCCCACAGCCATAGAGTCAGTGGCAGAGCTAGGATTGGAACTCTGACTTTGACTGGTTGCCCTGTTCGCAGCTATTCAGGGGGCTGTTGCCAAGAACATGAGTTAATCTGTGTCAAACAGCTAAAATAAAGCCTGACACACAGTAAGTGCTCAATAAGTGCTAGTAGAATTCGTTATATTCAGTATTTCTCCCGCTGTGGAATCTTCCTGCTGGGTGAAGTTGGGGGTCTAAAATGTGAATTTGGCATTGTCCTTACCTCAAAGAACTCCCAGTATGTGGCAGAGCCTGACAGTGTCACCATCACAGGATTAGGCAGTGACAGAGGCAGCAGAGAGGGCATCTGATTGGGACTGGAAGCCAGGAAGGAGGGCTTCCTGGAGGGCAGGATGCCCTGGCTGAAATTGGGAGAGCCAAGAGGGAGGACTCAGCCATCCAAAGGAGGATGTAAGCAGGAAGATAGCCAAGACAGCGGTGACCCGGACAGAGGAGTGACCTGGGCTGCAGAGAGGAAGGCGCACTGAGCATCTCATCTGAGAACTTTGGGTTCGGTGTGCATGAGAGGGCTTGCAGGCTGCAGCGGAAGCAATGTCAAGGTCAGAAACCAAACCAAGCCTGAGGCCGTGGAAAAAGTAGGGAGAAAATGCTTTCACTGAGCCCCCGGTGGTGACGCTAGCGTTACATTTGGAGTCTGCGCCTACATTACCTCACTCTTCACCGCGACCCTAGCTCGCAGGAACCAATGCTGCCCCACTTTGCTGATGAGGACACTGAGGCCCAGAGAGGGGGAGTAACTGGCCCTGGAGCCAAAGATGGTTACGTCCTCCTTGGGTTGGCCGAGTCCTCCCTCCTGGCTCTCCTGATTTCAGCCAGTTGGGTAATAGGTTTGTGGCGGGACATGGGACGTGCCCAGGAGAGACTCTGGGTCCTGCTGGCCAGGGATGGTCCAGGTGCCGGTGGTGGTGAGGGTGGGATGCGGGTGTGTGTGGGAGTGAGCAACCCACTTCCCTTCCACCCCAGCCTGAAGATTGAGGAGCTCACGCTGCCGAAAGTGTCACTGAAGCTGCTACCAGGGTTCGGGGTGCAGCTGACTCTTCACACCAAGGTCGGCCTGCATGGCTCAGGGTGAGTGCCACCCTACCCTCCTGTACCACTCAGAACCCCCTGCCTACTGGACCTACTGGTCCTTAATCCTGCAACCCGAGGTCCCAGTTTCTTCCCACCTTGCTGACCCTCCGTGGATCCTTCTCCAGAGTCCCTCCTGGGGACCTCCACCTCATGGCTCCCTGGACTCCAGACCTCTGGTCCACTGCCTGGCCTCACCAGAGTGGGTGGGGAGAGGGCTCAGGGATAGGCAGGCGGGGCAGGGAGGTACAGTGTGAGAATACAGGTGGGACCCAAGACCAGACCATTCCACCAGCTCCTCCTCAGCACCCAGGGCACAGGTGGGAGTGGCCCGGTCGTGGTCTGGAGGGCGGGGCCTGGCAGCCCGGCCACGCCCCAATGTCAAGTGTTGCAGCCCCCTGGGGGGCCTCCTGCAGCTGGCAGCTGAGGTGAACGTGTCCTCTCGGGTGGCCCTGGGAGTGAGCCCACGGGGGACGCCCATCCTGGT